AGGGAAAGATCAGAGTCATCATTACCAGAACCCTCTGGGTGTTATTTGCAGCAGTTATCGATTTTGGAAAGCAGTGAGTGCAGCAGTGAGGAATGTGGAGGAGATGGGAGGAAAGTCAGAGGTGTTTGTGGCAAATCAAGGACATTGAAACATGAAGATCTGATAAACCAGTAGCCAGGGGCGACGGCAAAGAGATTGTGTACAGTGTACTTTCTGACCTTCTATTTAAGCTCATCTAAGCTTGGTTTAAAGTGCTTTATTTCAGTTTACAACAGGATCACCATGCCTTTCTTTCTGTCATATTTATTGTAATAAGAGAGCTGTACTTTTCGTGATACTTGAGCTTTAGTCCAAAGCCTTTTTCTCTGAACAGAAAGACAACAGTTCCTGTTGGGATAAGGGCATCAATGCTGTTGGTTTCGGTTTCCTCTTCAAGTGACTGAATTTCATTTTTGCTTCCCTGTTGCTTCAGGAAGACACACTCCAAAGCAACTGGGCTTTCTGGCTTTAGCGTTTTGGATGGAAATCTGTTAGTTTTTCCTAACTTTGAATCAGTATTCAGTTTAGGTGAAGCATGATAAAGCTAGCACCTAGAGTTAAGGGAGATGTGCTCACAGACCGTGTCGGCAGCAGGAGGCGGGAGGGCTTGATGTTTTGCAGACCAAGATCCCAGCCTCCTCTTCATGGGGAAGGTAAAAATGAGGGATAGATGAACAGTTTGGTTCCATAGTGTGAATTTATTAATCCACACTGCGCCAAGGTGATGCAGTGTCTGATGGTGGGGAAGGGTATCCTCTCCTTAATATGAAGTATAGTATGTGGCCTGCTGCATAACCCTATCCTAGCTGCCTGCGTAGTCTGACAGACTTGCTGTTAGGAAAAGCAGTATATTATTCTAAGTTTCAGTGTTCATACTGATTATTTGGATCTCTGTTTACATTAATCTATATTTTTATAAAAATATTCTTTTAAATAATTCAGTATATACTTTGGAAAGAAAAAAAAAGCAGTCAAATTGATTTCTAAGAAAAACATTACGTATTGGCATTGAAGCTTTCCATTAATAGAAACAGTTTCTTTAGTATGATTCATATTCAGTGGGGGGTTTTTGTGTAATTTTTTTTTAATGCAATGCTTCCTGTACTGTAATTAGAAGTTAATTTAATTTTTATGCTTGTCCATTCTAGGTACAGAGATCCAGAAATAAGCAGTTACGTGAGCTGTTTTCTATAATCAATCTAAAGTTGTGTCACAGGAGCATAACCCTTACACATGGGTTTGTCTAATGGACATATTAAAGTGCTAGTGTGTACAGCTACACTCGCCTGGGGTGTCAATCTTCCTGCTCATGCTGTTGTTATTAAGGTAAGAGCTTCCATTACTCTGCACATGGGTATCTGTCTTAAAAGAAGCCTGTAAAGAAGCATAGATATCAAGTTCTTATTTTGGGTTTTGGGCCTGGGGGGAAAAAATGTCTGATTGACTTGAAATGTTCTTTATATCTGATGAAACTGAATCTCTCCAGTGGGAGTCTAGTTTGTATAGTAAAGATTTAAATATATCAAAGATTATGAAAGGATTAGTTAAAGTACACTTCTGAAATCATGCTGTATTTGCCTAATTTCAGTATTCAGCTCATCAGGATTATATTCATGTGTATTTATGTTAATTTTTATTAACTTTTCCTCAACCAGGGAACACAAATATATGCTGCAAAAAGAGGCTCCTTTGTTGACCTTGGAATTTTAGATGTCATGCAGATATTTGGTCGAGCTGGACGGCCTCAGTTTGACAAATTCGGAGAAGGCGTCATTATTACAACTCATGATAAACTCAGCCATTACCTGACTCTTCTTACTCAGCAGAATCCAATTGAAAGCCAGTTTCTTGAAAGCCTTGCAGACAACCTAAATGCAGAGGTAACCTTTGATTAATTTAGAGAAGTTAGCCAAGTTTAAAGGATTCATGTTATTTGAAACAAAAATGCAATATTGTCCCAGTTAAAAGACCTAAAATGGAAATTTTATTACTAGCAGTCTCGAGGTATATATATGTTTAAGAGGAATGAACTGTTACACATGTGAAAGTGTTGAGGGCATTTTATAAATTATATTAGGTTTTGGAAGTGGTGCGAAGGTACTAAATACCATTAACATACAACTGTAGAGATACAGCATTTACCTTTTAATCAGAAGTGTTTATTAGAATTTAGTAAGTGTTCTGCATAACTACAAATTAAAATCTGCAAAAAAATAAATTTAGTTTGTGTAAACAAACTTACTTCACATGGTTCACTGCAATATTAGAAGAATAATGTACTTGCTTGAACTCTTTGTTATCTTTTACAGTGGTAATCAGAACAGGTTTATTATAAGTAATGCAAGTTCCCAGTTTGCTTCAGTTTAAATCTTAACATATTTTCTTAGAAAATGCTGTGGTTTTGAAAGTATTGACCTTTGTAATATTCCAATATAATGATTCAAAAGCTATCTATTGTAATAACCAATTAAAAATATGTATATATACACACAGACACTTTTTACAAGGAAACAACAGAAATTTAAACACACTTTACTGAAGAATACTGTTTTTTGAAAGGCACTGGACATTTTTTCAGTAGAATTAAAGGTATTCAGCTAAACTGAGTTGTCCAGTGATGTCTTAAATATGATTACCCCTTTGACAGATGTGAAGTTTATTTGGCATGTTAAGAATAGTATTGGTTTTTAAGATGCTTTTTCTGTTTTATCAATACGATTCCTAAATATTTTTATTTTTTATCTTTTCATCACTTTAAAGTCTTTGCATTATTCGGTCATAAATAATAATTTTCAACAGAATTTTGAAAAGGACCAGAAATTTGATACGACTTTTGAAAATGTTAATTCCTAGAGTCTTCACAAATGACTGAGTTTAATCTTTCATTACTTTGGTTTTCCTGATTTGTTTGGTTTGTTGGTGTTTTTTAAGGAGGTCTCATAAATAATATCTTCAGTTCCTGTTAACAGGAAAAACCTCTGCCTAGGTATTTGTCACACATCAAGAGCAGAATGAAGTTTAACTGTGTTCCAAATATCTCCACACACAAAGGTGGGGCTATTAAAATATTAACCTGCTTACAGCTACTCCTCTTTACCTCAAGGTTCTGGAGTGGTCTGAATACAAGGAGGGAGAGAGAAATTGAACTCCCCCAGAACATGAGATACAAATGTGATGAAAAGGAGCCATTTACAATTTTCCTATCCCTCCTTCTACCATGAAAGAGACAGGAAAAATAAATGGAAGGCATACTTGCAGTGAGCAGGTGTTTGGTTTTTTTGTCATTTTCACAACACCTTAATTTTCCTGGAGATAGACACCTGTGAATGTTATCTAACTGGGTGGATGTTCAGGTCTTTAAAATTGAACAGTAACAACTTACACTTTAGCAGTAGTAATTTAAATCCTAAATTGGTTGCAAAGGCTGGTATTACCTGTAGTTACTGTTCAGCATCAAGAAGTTGGGAGAGATAGATCTGGTCCTGGGATACTAGGAAAGAATCCAGTCAGATTTTATAGAAAAGCTTTGTTCTTTATCTTGAGATATGTGAAATAGACAAGGAAAAAGAGTTGGATATTCTTTCCTTCACAGAAAAGGATTTATTTTTCTACTTTTGTTAGTTTTAATATTAGAAATTTAGTCCTCCCATCTCACAGGAGGCCTTCAATGAGAGAACTGCCAAGACAACAGAGTAATAACCATCTGTTGGGAACTGGGGCAGAGAAGATGTCTGTGACTGATGTGCTGTCAAAAAAAAATGGCAAAAACAAATATGCACAACTGTTTTTTCAGACTTGGTCTGTATTGCTGCAGATTGTCTAGAAGGTGTGTGGATGTGCTGGTGTACCACCTGAATTATACCAGGAATCTCAAATACTCCTTCTCCTCTGAGTTCCAGCAGAAAAGCTAGCTTTTTTTGGAAAAATCTTTTACTGACACTCTAAAAAATCTCATTGGTTAGCTTAGAAAAAACAGTTTCAAAGAAGGTACAACAGCTCTCTGTAGATAGCCAGAACTGGAAGTGAATAAAAGGAAGTAAAAAATACAATTTGGTCAATGCCAGTACAAGACAATCACCCTGCTCATAAGTGAGGTTGCCTGAAATATCTAGAAGAGTCTGTCTTTCAGCAGTAGTGGAGATAAGAGAAGTCTAATTTATTTTTTTTTATACAGCTAATATTTTGTATAAAGTGATGGTATTTCATGGTTGCACATGAACCAAGAGTTCCAGACCTATTTCTCTCATCTGAGAATGCTTAGTTAAGAAAGTATGAGATATAAGCTATTAATTTTCAATGTGTAATATTCTGCAGGGAGAGAGGGTCTTTAATAGGCAGCCTGTTGTTCCTCTGATCTGAGCTGTAGTTCCAAAATGCGCAAATTTTCCAGCAAGACCAGAGAGCAGAGGTGTTTGTTATATGCAAGCTTAAAAGAAGGAATTTTTGGTTTGGGAATTTTGGGTGTTTTTTTGGAGAGGATAAGTGAATTTGCATTCATTAAACTATATATGGGGAAGAAATGTGTTTTTAAAAAAAATAAAAGTAATTCTATTTTTGGTATCAAAGGAAAGATATATTTGGTTATACTTACACTTTAGGATTCTTCTCCACTTACTCCTTTTCCACTGTAGAGATTGCAAACTCTTAGTTTTGAGTGCTAAGTATTTATCTCACAGGAAGTTTTTAGAGCGGCTTAACAACATATTTTTAATGTAGCAGGTGTCTGTTTGCATGTGTCTGTATGTTACAATAAATCCTGCTGACATTGGCTTTGGTGCAGTCAGCACCAGAAAAGCCATTGCAGATGGAACAGACCTTATTGATTGTTAGAGTATTAAACAATTTTAATTTCTCCTAGGCTTGTGATTTTAACAGGGGTTTTTGAAGGTAGTAGTATATGCTCTTTTTTTTTTTTCTTTCTTTCTTATCCCTGCATTTAATAGCACTCTGCTAGCTTAAAAGGAAAAAAAAATCACTGAAGACTTAGAAAGGTAAATACTATTTAGCACCAAGTATGTCCAAATGGATACTTAATGAAGAGGAAAAGTACCAAAAAGCAAGACATTCAAGGGAGAAAGGGCTCTGTGAGCTTAGAATAGTAATAAATAGTAATAAAAACTACTTCAGGTGCAGAGCTTCTACTGCAGTATTTGGGGTTTGGGGGATGCAGGACTTCTATTACATGATTTGGGGTTTGGAGAAAAGTGCAGAAAATTGTCAAACTACTTTAGACAGAACTACTTCTTTCAGAAATGTAACAGTAGTGCTGTCTGAAAAGAACAGTGTAGTCATGGCTTTGAATTACTGAAGGTTCTGTGGCTGCAGCACGGTCACAGCAGTTGAAGAAGTAGTCAGAATTTTGTTAATCACTGTGATAAATGGTTGTTGGTAGAAATAGTAATGAAAAATGCTGAAAAACAATAGAATAACAAGGGGATGAAGCCACCATTTCTTGTCATCTTCTAAAAATGAGTAGAAGAGTAAATGGTTAGTGCTGATCAACATAGGCATGGAGATGCCCTTTTCTGCTGAGTTGTGCCACTGGGCATAATGGAACGTAAAAAGGAATAAAATAAACAGCTGGTTAGGGTGTTTAGTCAAGAGGAGCGAGTCCAGCTGGCAAACAGAAGATACCTATGGCTGTATTTTCTGGAAATACAGGAAGAAAGATAAGATGCAGGAGATGTGGTTTAATTAGACCATAAACTTTAACTTATCTGGGAACTATCATCAATAGCTCATACAATGCAGGTCACCATTCCTTCCCTAATGGTTTCCATCTGATAGAGCCCTCCCTGACATCCACAGCTGGACCCCAGCTTGTTGCTGGGATGACTTCTTTCCTCAGAGAGCTTAGAAAATAAGAGGATTTGCAGTGCTGGACAGTAGGTACACCTTCCCCAGGGGCCTTGCCTTTTCCTTCCATTTACTTATTTTGTTGTGAAGCCAGGAATGTAAAAGGTAGTGGCTTGTTTTGACAAACCTCTTAATCCAGTTTTTGACGTGAAAGATTGGGCAACTATTGTGGTTCACAAATGAGACAGAAATCCATCAAAGCCCTTCTGAAAAACCACTCAGGAGCTGGGTGACTGAGCAGGCTTGGGGACCTGAAGGTTTTTCTCTGGGTGTCCATGGCCCTAGGGGCTGACTGACCTGTATGAGACCAGCAACCTCATCCATTCTCCCCTCACCTTCTTCTGCTGTTTCCAGGTGGTAGACAAGTTACTTGGAGTTGACAGTGAATAACTCTGATGTAGTTTTGTAGTTCTGTAGTTCTGTTGTACTTAGAAATAGTCTTTGGTCCTGTGCAACTGGAGGAGATCCTGACCCACTTGGGCCAATGCCCAAGCAGCAAGAAATTATTTCAAAAGCTATACAGGAGTAAGACCATAATCACTTCAAATGCTGAAATAGTAATTTCACTGTGTGTAAACACACTGGCTTCCAAAGCTAACAGAAAACTGCTCATTACATTTTTAGAAACATGCCTCACTCTCTTACCTTAACAACAAATATTTGATTCACATATAGAATTTTTTTATTCATGTAACCTGACTCATTTATAAAAATGTAATAACAATTAAACATTTTTATGCTCTTTTCTAATGTGTACAGAAATATCAGAGAGAAAAACTTTGCTTTTCAAACTACCCCCAAAAAGCCCTGTTGTTTTATATGTTTTATCTGCTCTGAAAATCTGTTCAACTTGATAAAGTCTGTGGAATAGGATTTGTAAAAAGAAAAATATTTAATAAAAATGAAAAGTACCAAACATATCCCTGGTATCACTCAGGGGTGGTGATATCAGCCATTGAAAAATTAGTGCCAAATTTGTTAAGTTGATTATTTTTTTCATTTTAAATGACACAGTGAATTGGATTAATCTGGTACTCAATTTTCGTTTTGTGAGTGCAGGACAACTTTGTGTGATGACTACTGCAATCAGACAATATGTCAACACAATAAATATTTCTACTTACTGATTATTGCATGTGTAACTAAATACTTGGTTGAGGGAATACTGGGAAATGCGAAACTTTTTTAATAAAGTATCACCTTGTCTTTTTATTGCTTTTGTGAGCAAAACATGGCCTACCTCTTAGCAGAGGTCCTCTCCTAACTTTGAAAAGACTTTATTTCATAATTACTCTCAAGTGTGTGTTTATAACTTTAATCATTCAAATGGTTTTAACAAAGGTACACATTTTCAAACTCCTTAATAACAATACTTGAACACTAGATGGCAGCAAATATTTAGAAGTTGCCTTGTTTTGTTGGGGGTTTTTTTGCCTGTACATCCTACACGGTGAATGTTCATTAAAGTTGGGGGAAGAAGGAAAGTGCAGTGTAAGATTTCAGTTCCATATCTGAAACCCAACTATATTTCAAAGTCAATGTTTTCATTCTCAGTTTTACTTCTAACTTATGAAAAGAAGTTGTAAAAAGTTGAAAATAATTTAAGTAATGCAATCAAATATTTGAAGAAATGAGGCAAAAAAAGTTGGTGTGTTTCTTTTTTTCTTCTAATTGTCAGACTTCAGTGTCCTCAGTAATGAGAATTTTGTGTATTCATTATTACTGAAGTGGTTTTGGGGGGGGGAAGTGTTACTCTTGGACTACGTTGTTGTGCTGGTTTGAGTTGTGTACAGAAAGATACTTCAGTCGTGGAAAGAAACCTAATGCTCAAATTAACCTGGATGGCAAATTGAGCAATAATAACCTATGGGCTGTATTAGATTTTTCCCTGTAGTAGTTTATGAAGAGCTGAATGTTTTTGTAGCTACTTCAGTGTGTTATGTAGCTGTATACTTCAAAAAACAATCCAGTGGAGCTTCCTCAGCCTCCTTATGCTCTTGAAAAACAAAATATAACTTGAAAAATGTGTGAGACAAAGCTTGGAGTTACTCCATGCTATTAGTCATTGATATCAACAAAAGTTTGCCAGATTTAAATTATTTTAACTCCAGGCAGATTTCACTTATGTTGTTATTTTTGTCTAGGTATTTATTTTATTTCAAAGAAAATATGTATATTAGCATTAAGGTCTAGATGGTTAGATTTTAAAATTGATATAAAGTCACTTACAGTTATATAAGCTTTTTTTTCAAGTTTTGCCAAGTGGAACATTTAATGAAATAGAAACACACAAAAAAACAACAAAAAGAACTTTTAACATTTATTAATTGGTCACAAAAATTTGGTACAAGGTAATTCTGCTTCATTTAAACAACCAGCAACAACGAAAAAAATATATATTTGTTTATGGAATATGCAGGAAATACTAAAGTCTCCTGGTAAATTCAGCTTAATTGGAATAAGCAGAAAAACGCTTCTCATGAAAGTAACCAAGACAAAATAGAGCTGAAGTTACCAAGTAAAAGCATCTTTGATAAATTATTTGGTGAGAATTCTATTGAATTAGTAAAACCAACTATCAAAACAACTTTTTTTAATATGCCTGAATTGGCCTTGAAAAATAAATATGTTTCTGTGTGTATATTTGCATATTACCAGTTAATTTTTTTTAATGTTTTTGGTATAACAAAAATGTAGGATGTACCTGAAAGGAGAAAACTCTGTTAAAAACTGTGCACAGATTCCCAAGTATGAGGGCCATGCTGAAGAAAACCCTAAAGATTGGTGTGATCATTTGCTGTAGGACTTGAACCACAGAGTGCTTTTACTTTGATATGAAAAATCAACCTTTTCAATATGGATTTTTTTTTAAGTACTCTTCTTTAAATGATCCCAAGCATATTTGCTGAAGAGTTACATTGTTTTGCTTGTCTTTTTAGAACAAACTTGCTCAGTATCATCTTTTAATTATAAAAATCCTAAGTGGTGTGGGAAAGATCATGTGGGTTCCTGTATCTGTATTATGTCACAGAACATAACACATTATTAGCTGCTCATAAGATGACAAGTGAATGATTCACATTATTGTCCTATGATTATTTTTAAATAATTTAAGTTAGAAAAATACCGACACTTTCTTTAATCTAGTGATAATGCTCTAAGTTCCATGTGTTTTCATCCAAATACTTATGTTCAGCTGTAACATATACATCTAATTTTGTCTCTTTTCCTATTTCCAGATTGCTCTTGGAACAGTAACTAACGTGGAAGAAGCAGTAAAGTGGATAAGTTACACTTATCTTTACGTTCGGATGAGAGCAAATCCATTAGTATATGGCATCAGCCACAAAGCTTATCAGGTATAAAATGCATTTTAAAAAAATCTGTAACCTATTCTGGGTCTCTAATCCTTCCCTGATGTGAGGATAAATATTTACTATTTCTACTTAGCCTGACATCAGCAATTATTTTAAAGTGCTTAGAAAAAGGAAGGTATTTTCTGTAGCAGAGTATTTTTAACACTAAATTAAGAGGCCCCTTCTGTTCACATAAAAAATACATTTTGACTAGCCAAGTTATGTTCCAAAGGACAACATTCATTCTTATCAGACAGTTGCAGTAACTTAGTTTCAGTGTTGTACACTAGATAGAAATGATAAAATGAAGTATTCTTGGGTAGCTTGCTTTCCTTGCCCCTGTTAGCTTTTGGTTTAGAATGTTTCATCTCTTGACATTTTTAATTAGATTATGTTTTTTTTTCTTTCTTGTGACTTAGTAATTATAAAGCTTTTAATTAATTTGCTCAGTTTTGTTTTGTTTTGTTTGTGGTGGTTTTTTTGTCATATAAATTAGCACAGTTACATAAGGGCTTTTTTACGGGGTTTTTTTTCATTCTCTGTACATTTTAGGAAGTTTAATTGTTTACAGATTATCTAAATACACTTTTTTTTCTGTACAGCTTTTTATAAGCATTTAATGTTAAATTAGTTTGAACACAGGTAGTTGTGCCTCATGTAGGTGAAACTCACAAGTGTGTGGTAACAGCAGTTTTTTTCACATGTCCTGAATCTGTTTTGTGACTTCATCATTAGTCAGACTCTGAGCAGCGGTTGTTTTGGTCATTGTAACATATAGAGATCTATGTCAGGAGATATTTTTTCATAGTGTTTGTGTCTGATAGTGGAAGCTGCAGTGAAAGTAGGAAGCAAGCTTCTGTAGACACCTTTTGACCTCTGGTCATCTTAAATCTGTTTTCTATAAAAAGCCTTACAGTACATTACCATATGTTAATATAAGATCATGTAACACAAATTGCAAAGTAATTGCTAAATGAAAAGCAAAAATTGCTTTGCTCGTGAGGAGAATGTTGTTGTCCCGTTCCTATAAATTCCTTTTTCTTTTCTTCTAATCAGTTATTTTTGACCAGTGTTATTAACAAACTTCAGATTAGAAGAAGTGCAACCGTCATGGTAATAACTGGTGAAAAAATAAATAAAACACTAAGAGAGATAGTTTTTATAATTTTTTAAAATAATAAACAGGATTTGCTCTCCCTCTTCTTGCTTGTATGTTTTTATTCAGCCTTTGAGAAAGTGGAGGTTGCCAGCACTTGTCTTTTCCTGCCACTAACCTCCTTCCTACCCCTTCCGTTCCATGTTCTAATAATAGACATTCCTATTTTTTTGTTAAGGCAGTAACAAATTATTTCAATTAGAATTGTTATCCATTCATGTAGGAGCAAACCAATGCCAATCTCCTTATTTTCTAAATAAACCAGTATTAAACTTCAAAGCTGAAGTGTTAAAGACAGTATATGGATGGTATGGTGCCAGATGCAGACATAACTAGAGAATTACTCACTTATGCCTTTCTATTCCTTCTGTTCTGGTTATACATATCCAAATTTCATAATTGGTATCTTGTTGTTTCTTAACAGTGTTGCCAATTTATATTCCTGTTTTGGCTGGCAGTCAATGTTACCCATTCAGAATCCATCTATCTGCATAACCATCATGGGTCACACTTCCCAGCTGCTCAAGGGGGCTGAGAAGATGCAAACTCATTCTCCTTTCCCTTTCCACAGGCACTCACCACATGCAGTCATTACTTCAAACCACAAAAGGTCCAGCCTGTCCGTGCTAAGGGGGAGAGCAGGGCAACCTGCCATATGCTGACACGTTCTTTACTCAACGTGTTGCCTTTGTGATATTCCTGTTTCCCACCTAACCCATTTCTGGGCTATGCCTAGAATTAGGTTACTCCAGGCCCACTGCTTTTATTTGTGACTTTTCCATTTTTTTTGCTAGAAGTGCCAAAAGTGACTTTCACTGAGAGGGAAAAAGGGCCAAAATTTACAATGAGCAGCAAGAAATAAAAAGTGGAAGGAAAAACCTGAGTAGATATGAGTGTCATATTGTAAAGCCTGTGGTATGAGTTACAGGCATTTTCCCATCCTTTTAGGGTTCCAAAGGAAAGGTAGCTGTTTCTTGTTAAGGTAACCCCTTTGTCTGCATTCTTATCTTTTTAGTTCCACTCTTTGGTGTTCCTACAGTTAACCAAAGCTTTTTAATTCACATAACTTCTATGCTTATGTTCAGAAGTACGTCTGTAAAACTTAGAGGAGCTTGTCCCCAACACTCCTCTCAATTAGCTAGAGAAAAAATTGTGAATTATAGTGCACTTTATCATGTGTTCTTAAATTTCCATATGCATGCTCCAGACCTGCTCCGTTTCTTGCTGTGGACATGCTAAGGCTCATTTTTAAGGGCTAGTCTAGGCTGTGTCTTTTGCTCTGTGGGATTCCTAATTATGTAAGTTCAACAAGAAAGGTGCTAATGATGGATTCTCTAGACTGAAATATCGTTTCACAGCCTTTTCAAGTTGGTGGCCTTTCCTTTTAAGTTAAAACCTTTGCATTTGTAAAAAATGCTAGTCTACTGTTACAGACCAGCTTTTCTATATATAAGGCAAAAGACTGGCAGGGAATTTGGTCTGTCAAAGGAGTAGGGAAGTGCATTTATATTTTTAAAAAAAATTTCCGCCTCTTTAGTTTTAAGAAATTTTGAACATCTGGCATCTTGATTGCTTTTTTTTTTTTAACACTTCGGTTCTGAAATCTGACCCCAATGCATGACTTACTATTGAGAAAAGCAGTCTAGGTCTTTGCTATCTTAGCTTTTGACTTAAAACTAAAGTAAGCCATAACTAAGGAGAAACAGCTTCAGGGTACCTGGTCTTGCAGCCAGTTTGTGGAGATGGCTGTCTTTGTCTGCAGCTTCAGTGAACACGAGATTAAGCACTTCAGCACAAAGATGAAACTGAATCCTGGCCCAGGGAAAACCAGAGCAAACCAAGGCATAGCAATTCTTAAAGCCTGCTCCTTTTTGCAGTCTTAGTCATATAAGTCTGGAGCAGATTTACCAAAAGCTCTGGTATGACCTACTCTGTAGGAAATCTGAACTATACAAGCCCTGAAATAAGAATGCTGCCTGTGGATTTGAATAGAGTTTCAGTCTTTTCAAATATGGTGACTAGTCAGTGCTTGTGTAATTAGAGCACTATCTCAGCTGCACATATACCAGAGGGTTAACATGATTAGGAATCCCTTTTCACCCAGCCCTGTCAGTCTGGATACCCCAGGTGCATAATGTGGTAAAACACAATTACACAGCAGTCCCACTCAGATGGGAGTTTTGCCCAGCCTTGTATGTACTAAGGAGGTAATGTACATTATTACTGGAACAAAATGTCCACATTTCTGAACTTCTATATGAATAGAGGTGATGTTGGGCACAGCAAGCTCTCTGTATGCTCTTAACATGTATGTTTAAATGGTACGTGTATAACTCAGTAATTAAATATCCTAGCTGACACACCCAAAGCTCTTCAGGATGTTACAGGGGTTTTTTTGCTAGTAAACATTTCAGCCTTCCAATTTGAATCTTGCTCTATTTGGGATACAGGTAAAGCCATCCTCATGTCAGAAACCAAGGTATATCTTCAACAGAAGATTCTGCAAGATGGAGTGTTTTGTGAAGTGATACAGTTACAATAATTTCATGAAGAATATGTTATCATTAAAACTTCTTTCAAAAATTTCAGTGTAAATGTATTTCAGAATCATGTTACTATTTCAGAAGTAGTATTAACCTACATTGCACTGATACTCTTGAAGCACTGTAAAAGAAATATTATTCTGATTATTTCGTCCTTTATTTTTTGGTTATTGCTTTTAGTCATTAATATCAATGTATCTGTTATCAGTGAAACCTCGGGAAAATCTTGACTTAATAACTGTACTTTCGTTTTATTTGTTTTCTGGGTTTGTGTGGCTGGGCTATCTCAATAAAATTATTTGTGTAACACTTTTCTTTTTTCTTTTGTGCAAATAAATGTGTGTATTTTGTGTCTAGATGGATCCAGGTCTAGAAAAGCACAGAGAGCAGTTGGTAATTGAAGTCGGCAGAAAACTGGACAAAGCCCGCATGATTCGCTTTGAAGAACGAACTGGCTTTTTCTCTTCAACAGATTTAGGCAGAACTGCCAGCCACTACTATATTAAATACAATACTATAGAGGTAAAATTTGATCTTCTATTTTGGGGTGGTTTTTTTTTCCTTCTTTTTGAACCTTTACCTAAAACAGTTGTAAGACATTACAGACTATGTATGTGATTTGTTCAGTGTATTTTCGAGTCATATTTACCAAAAGGGGGAAGGAGGAAATAGAGAGGAAAAAGAAAGCAAGTATAAAGCAATACTGAAAAATTGGACCTGGTTTGAAATGAGATTTAAAATTTCTATAGTCTCTGCCTTCTTTCAGGAGAATTATAAAAAATATTTTTACACCAACAGTGTGTGCAACCATTGCATTCTGATAGCACGTTCGAGTAGAGTCTGATAACAGAAAAGTTTTTCTGTATGAAAATCTTTCCAGGTTGCCAAGCTTAAACAACTTTTGGCACTTTGATCAGATTGTATTGTAAACATGTAAGGAAGATGCATTTGTATCTGTAATATTGGAAGCTTATTGTGAGGTACACATTCATCTTAAAACCTTTTTTTTCTTCAGGAAATAAGTATTTTTCTTTAACAAAAGCTTAAGACACTGCATGAGTAATTTTCACTGTTTACTGCGACTATGCATAATTAGTTTCACAGATCCATTCACTCAGATCCTATACTTTTTTTTTTAATGGCCTTAGACTTCATGTCTCTTCATTTTGGGGTGCCTAAGTTTTGAAGGACTTTTTTTTAAAGTACTGGGAAATCATTCTGGAAATTGTTTCTCTTAAATTGCGTCACTAGTCTTTCAATAACTTACACTGTATCCTTATACAACTTTTTAAATCTTGATTGTTTCTTTTGTGCTGTATGTATACTTCTATTTTCAGTATGAAATAATTATTTATTTTTTTTTTTAGACTTTCAATGAGCTGTTTGATGCTCATAAAACAGAAGGTGATATTCTTGCTATAGTATCAAAAGCTGAAGAGTTTGAACAGATAAAGGTAAAATTGTATCCTTTCATACAAAGAATATGTCTTAGAACTAGACAGGTGTGTAGTACTCACTCCAAATATGGTAAATGTCTACAGACCCAAGTTTTGTTTGATATTAAACACCATTATAAAATGTTTCCTAAGTAGGTGTAATTGCCAAGAATTATATATGCTCTCACTCAAACTTATACGTAGTTCAGCTTGAACTGTAGTGCACATTTAATAACTCGTTATGGATCTTCAAGAATTCCTTTTAAATGGTTTAAAGAACTTTTCAGCTCCTTAATTATTAACAGGTGAAGATAAGTGGACACTGAGGGATGAGATAGTTTTTCTCTATGAAATTTAAACCATTATTAGTTGTCTTCCTGAAAAATTTCCTTTATCAATAATGAGACAGGAGACACTGAAGTCAAGTCTGTGATACACTTCGTGCAGGGAACAGTATTAGATGAATGATAAATCCTGATAAATTATTTTCAAATTTGAAATCTAGAAAGTTGCTGTAAAAGATTTTGCTGTGCAGGCTAGAAGATTACTGTACTATTGTACTCACTTCAAAGCCAATCTCCCTTTTTGGCTCCTGTGTCGACAGAGCACAAGACAGTGCATTGCAGGCCAGCATGAGCTTGTTTACCTGTGCTTCCATCTCATAGAGGAGTGAGCCAGACTCCAGACTCCACAGGGTTTGGTAGCTTGAGCCCATCACCCTTTTACCACCATTGAACAACTTGCAGATCAGACTTAGCTCTTGTTCACCTGGCTCTGCGAACTGGCAGTGTCAGTCCCTCACCATCTACATATTTACTTATTTGCACACACAGTCTGAGTGTTACCATATCTTTATCTGATGGGGAAATGCTGTTTTGCTGTAATCTGTTTTATTATAATAAGATAATAAGCAGTGAGGTTTCACATTGATACATGCAGTGTTTTCCAAGATAGAAGGGGGTTTTGTGATTGTGATACTGCTTTGCTAGGTCTAAATTTAACATAATTGAATATTTAAAGAGAAGCAAGTAGAAAATATTATGTGATATGTTTCTATATTTGCAATAAAGCTAGTAGTGATTCTTCTTTACCAAAGGATAGTTTTTTCTAGTTTGCTTTCTCAGATTTGAAAGTTATCACATCAGTGCACCATCATTTCCAGTTTTTTGTGATTTACTTGCTATGCAGCTCTGATTGTTGAAACTAGTAACTTTCACAAGAATCATTCAGGATTTACCCCTCTGTGTGATACAAATAATGAATTTTGTTAATATGAACCATATCTCCATAAAAAAGTCTGTACTTTGAGATAGTTAGGTCACCAGTAGCTGAAATACAAATCTGGACTGACCTGTACTCTGCTATGCAGGAGCAGAAAAAATTATGAAAAATTCTGTTGTAAGCAGAGCATAATATTCCCTGGACACTGGAGTTGTCTCTGTTGGTTGTGTCCTGCAGCTTTTTCTTTCCTGCAGGACCAATGGCTGGATAGCTGCGGATTTTAATTCAGCTGTTTTAGTGTCTCTTGTGTGTCAGGTAGTTGGGTCCAAAGGAAAATTACTTTCAGTTGGTTCCCTGCAGGGACCAAACATTTACCCTCTTTAAATAAGTTTTACACTAACAGACTATCAGTAAATCAAAGAATATGTAGATTTATGCTGGTTTTGCCATGTAAGGGTCATCAGTTAGAATGTGAAATGTTATGCATTATTCAAATCATAGATATGAATATTTCTTTTCTCATATTAAGACTTAATCTTATTAACAGTGAAAATTTTAATATCATGAATCGTAGTACTTCACAGATTTGAGTTAAAAATGTATTATGCCACATGCAAACCATGTAGCTATAATGAGTACATTTAATGTTAATTCAAGATTGCCCTAATCCAGATGGACAGAGGTTTTACTCTGGTCAAATAAGAAATGAAATCTCATCAGATGAAGGATGGTAGGGTCAGAAGATTCAATTTTTGTGGCATATCAAATTTTTGTATGTCAATGGCAACCTTAATAGATGGTGATGAATAATAAAATGTAATTGTGTCACTATTAAGATAGCTTCAATTATAGTCTATTAGCTACATTATGGAAGATACGGGTTGCTACTTTTTTTTCTTTTTTTGCTTTTTTGCTTAAAACCAGAGACTCCTTTTAAAAATAATGTAACTGCATTATAAGGAAAATTTTATTTCAGTATAAAAATTTTATTGAATTGCTCCAGCCTCTTCATAAAGTGTAATTGTGTTTTAGGTAAGAGAAGAAGAAATAGAAGAGCTGGATACCTTACTGAGTGATTTCTGTGAACTTCCTGCTCCAGGAGGTGTGGAAAACAATTATGGAAAAATTAATATCCTCCTTCAAACATACATTAGCAGAGGGGAGATAGACAACTTCTCCCTTATTTCAGATTCTGCATATGTTGCACAGGTAAAAATAGTAGTTTTTACAAATCCGTTGCGTGTTATTCTGTTTTCATTCTCCTAAATGTTTGCAATGATGTAAGTAAGCCTTGATCTGCAGCCTTTTTGTACATTTGTGTGCAGATTGATTTCAAAAGCAGAGCCTTGCGTGTGTACACGTGTAATATAATATTTAAGTAGATAAGATTTGTAAAAGCATACCTTGGGAGACTCATACATTTTTTTGTTTAATTATAAATGTACTTTTTGTTCCTCTTACCCCTATTGTCTTATTATATTTAGTAATTCTAACTTTGCACAGAAATTTTATTCTTAAGTTACTGGGTTTTCTTCTAAACCTGGAAATCTGTCACAATGTGCTTTTATGGTTTGTGTACTTTTATACTTCATTCTACAAAAAATAATTTGTGTTTTATTCACATACCTTAGTTTACACAAGAAAGATGTGCTATTACCATTTTTTTGTTAGACATAATCATGCAAATTTACACAGCAGTCTGTATATTTGTTTGCCAGCTTGATTTGACAATGGTTGATAGTTACACAGCATGTTTAGTTATTACACAGAATAATAAGAGAACTGCAAAGTCTGTGCCATGGAACTGCTTGCTTACACAACTGGAGCCCATTGTAGAAAGAAAGGGGCAATGCTTGAAAGTTTAGAATTCTGCATCCTGGACAAAGTGACAGAATGGTGATAGACAATCCCAGATGTGCAACAAAAACAAATGTATAAAATAGATTATAAAATTTTGCCTTTTAGCCAGTCCTGTGTTGCTCTATTTCCTCTCCTCCTCTCCTCCTCTCTTTCTTATCTTTCCTTTCATTTTTCTTCAACAGCAGCATGTTACAGTAAATCATTTTATCCTTTTGTAAAGGACTGATTGTAAAATTGCATTTCATTGGTGCTGAAGGTGAGAGCTAAATTTTCAAAAAGTACACATATTCTTCAGCAAGATTTTCATACTCACATTACCTCCTTCAGAAGTGTCTGCATTTCATAGCGCAGATAGGAATAAATGAGAAAATTCTGAAATCATTGCGCACATCATAAAAATCATGGCACTTGCACAAGAAGATAATTTTCAGAATGATTCTTTAATCTTTGCTTTCAAGACAATTATTTTTATTAGTCTGTTTCAATTATAGCATTTTTACTGAGTCAACATGGTCTTCTTCTCAGATCTCCATAAATTGTACATGTGGAACCCACGCTACAAATTGTGATTTTTTTTTTTTTTTTAATTGGGTAGTGACTATTAAGAAACTAATCCTTTCTAAGTAAAAAAGAATTGTGCTTCTGTAGTAACTTATGCTTCCTATCATAACCAAAAAATTTCCTATTTTTTATTCCTGTTGGCAATTCAGAGCCTGTAGAGAATGAATTTGTTCTAGTCAATGAATCAAGAACAGAATTGCTAATTCAGGCAAAGTACTGGTTGTCAAATAAAACAAACCCCACCAAAAAAAACACAGCTTCATAATACATCTTGATAGGTTTAGTAAAATAATATAATAACCTGTATTTTCAGGATAAGACTGACCTGATTCAAGCTTATGTTAATTGTTAATTTTCCAAGTCCAAAGCAGATTATACAGTTTACTAATACAGTTGTCTCAAATATTTAAACAAAAGTCACTAGTGTTAAAAATCTCTGCAAATGTTGTGACATTGATTGGGGAATGGCATGCTATTATGGAAGAACAACTGAGGTGAAAGATTAAAACTTGAATTTACATATAAACTGAGTTTGCAAATGTATATTGTATAGGAGGAAGAGGGGAAGATCTTGAGTATAGTAAGTGAATTTGTTTCACAACTGATTGAGATTCAATAAATGTAGAACTTCCTAATGTTACCATAACCATGATCAAAATTTTATGGCAGACCTGCCACTACAACTTTAATTAGTTGCACATGTTTCTTTGCCTAATTTCTGTAGGCAGTCATGAGGTAGTTCTGCCACTAGAATGGGATGGAAAAACGAAATCAGTTTGAAAAAAAAAATATCTATTGTTATGGTTTGTCAAGGATGAGTCTATGGGATCCTTTTCATTTTACAAAGAATACTTGAGGGAATTACAACATTTTTACTTTTTTTCTTCACTCTCCAGAATGCAGCTCGTATTGTTCGAGCTCTTTTTGAGATTGCCCTCAGGAAACGTTGGCCTGCCATGACATATCGACTTCTGAACCTCAGCAAAGTCATTGACAAGCGGCTGTGGGGCTGGGTTAGCCCTTTGAGACAGTTCTCAGTGTTACCCCCATCGGTCCTCTCGAAGCTGGAAGAGAAGAATCTCACTGTGGACAAGATGAAGGACATGAGAAAAGATGAAATAGGTGAGAAATCAGCAATGCTGACCTGCTTGAACTATTAGCAATTGAGTTAGAACTGAATCTGAGCCATTCCTGAATGTACCCACTCTGGTCCTCAAGCCATGCAGGCACACTAATAGGGTATTATGGTCTGTCCAAAAAGAGGGTTTCTTCTGTCTTCACAGTTTGTAATATGGCACAGCTTTGAGGGTTGTGCTAGCCCCATACCCTGCCAACCCCAGAACACATATGGATGGAGATGTGTGTTGATGTTTATTTTCATACGTGTATATATACATATTTATGTTGACCTGTGCTTCCCTTCTTGCTCACAGTGTGCAATACATGACTACAAAATGCATCTCTTTATTTTTGCCAGTTGACAACATGGCCTTTTTTTCATTATTATTGAAATACTTACAACGTGAAAAAGAATAAAAGCAGATTATTATGTCCTGGTGTACTATCAGTAAATGGCCTGCTTCTGAAACACTGCATTAATTTTCATCAAACATGGGGAATTCATTGTCACTGGTGTCATTGCAACAAAACCTTAATGGAATTTTTTTAAGGATTTGACACTTCAATAATGAGAAATTCCATGAGCCTCCTGATAAACATTTCTAGTAGGTTTGTATGAACTGTTGAGCATAAACTGTCCAGCAGTAGACTGAATTTGAAAAAAAAAATATTAGCCTGCAATGTATTTTATCTTATTTGGACTTTCTTTGCACCTGTTATTGCAAAGTTGTTGAGGAACAAGCTGCCATTTTTAAGAAAATCTAATTTTACAATAAAAACACAATTCATAGTCACTGGTTTTTAGACATTATAACCTCTGATTTGATATTGCTGTCATTTGACAAAGGAGCTACATTCCTAATTTAGGAAGCTTTGTTATATGCCACGTTTAGATTGGAAAAAGTTGAATAAATATGTAAAAGTTTGTAGAATTAGAGGCTATATTTTATTTAATAAGCTGAACCAAAGGACTGTAAGGAAATGTTAAAAGCTTACTTTAACTGTGCATTATAATATGTAGAAATTTTAAATGTATAAAAAATAAAACATTTTATTAGAGATACTGCCATAATCATGCTTTTCTATTCAGAAGCATTATTTTATAACACTTTTTAAATTCATATTTGTTAATGTGTTGTGTATTTGTGCAGTCATTTTAAGACTCAATATTCTTTTCCATTAACTGTATTAGTGCTTTCTTTTTTTATGCTTCTTTTTCCCCATACCTGCCCTTGGAGAAGCAAGAAATTTTGTTTTAAGAGTTAAAAAACAGTTTTGTTCCCTACAAACGTGGAATAAGTGTTCCCTACAAGTGGAATATTGACAAGACAGAAATGTGTCAATAGATATATACCTATAAAATGTCTAGTTTTGTTTTAACTTAGTTTAAAAGTAGACAAAACTTGAGGTTTGACTGTGAAAATAGGAAATCACTGACTATATATGATATTATTTCATATTTTGCAGCTTTATAAACATCAAAACAAGTTAATCTGTGAATCTCTGTTCAGTGCTGTTACTTGGGATGATTCTTCCTGTCTAGCCTCTCTGACACCAAGGGTGTGAGGGAAGTGCTTGCCTGGCAGCCACCTTCTTTTTATTTTAATTCAGAACCACATTGAAATGAGAAATGGTACAGTTTCCAGTGTTGCCCTGTTATCTGAGTCCATACTTTCACTCTTAGTATTAATTCCTTTTTAAATGTTATTGTGACCTTGTACATAAAATAAAAAAAGACAGGAGCTAGCTGGCAAACTCAGAGAGATAAAAGCCTCAGATGGGTGTCAGCTCAACACAAGAGGGACATGGACCTGTTGGAACGAGTCCAGAGAAGGGCCACAAAGATGATCCGAGGGCTGGAGCAGCTCTGATACGAAGACAGGCTGGGAGAGTTGGGGCTGTTCAGTCTGGAGAGGAGAAGGCTCCAGGGAGACCTCATAGGGGCCTTCCAGTGCCTGAAGGGGCTCCAGGAAAGCTGGGGAGGGACTGTTTAGAAGGGCTTGTAGTGAGAAGATGAGGAGCAGTGGTCTTAAATTAGAGCCGGGTAGATTTAGACTGAACCTTAGGAAGAAGTTCTTTACAATGAGGATGGTGAAGCAGCTTACCCAGAGATGTGGTGGAGACCCCATCCCTGAAGATGTTCAAGGTCAGGCTTGACAAGCCTCTGAGCAACCTGATCTAGTTAGAAAGATCCCTGTGCACTGCAGGGGGGCTGGACTAGATGGCCTTTAAAGGTCCTTTCCAACCCCACACATTCAATGATTCTGTGATCCTGGATTCCAGTGTATCACAAATCGATCAACACCAGTCTATGTGCTACTGCAGTGTAACCGTGGAGTTTCCAGAAAGCCAGGAAATGACTGTGTTATCTGAGATAAAATACTATTTTTTCAGGATACAGATGACAATTGCTGTGGAATAAGCAAAATTTATTCTTATTTTGTTAAACATACTTATTTTCTGTAATAGTCAGCTTTTATTCAGAAAGTTTTCATATATTTTAAATGACACTGATAATTTCTCATAATGTGACTATTAAGAAAAATAAACAACAAGATTTAAACAACAAGGGGAATAGAGTTTTATGATATTTGACAGAAGTTAGGAGAGGACTTTTATGTCCCCCTAGCAGACAAGTGAACAAAACCTCAGTATTGTCCCATACGAACACAAAAGTTACCCTCATACATTGTGATACAGAAAGTGATTTTTGGCATAAAAAATTGTACTTGCCTACATGAGCTTACTGAGTCATGTCTTTGAATATTTGGCAACTACCTTTATCCAACGTGACTTCTGAAGTTTTCCCTCTAAGTGGAAAAGTTTGTCACTGTACATGTATGCTGTAATACTGCATATATCACCTGATTGTACCAATGTAATTGCTTTGAGTTTTAATTGTCCACTTGCTGGAGGTGCACTGATTTAACCAGCTCAAATTAAACTGATTAAATATGTCTTAAAACTTTTGCATTAGGGATTTGCTTCTAAGTCAAGATGACCATTCAGAGTACAGATAAACACCTTTGTGAGGCAAAACCTGCCAGTTTGTTAAATAAACTGAAGAGGGAAAGTCAGGATTAATATAAAAAAATCAGCAACTGCAAGATGTCATGATTCTAAATTTTGTGCAATAGCAATAAAAAGTTTGTATCACCTTTTCACTTTGCCCATAATGCAAATAATGGGATTTCTTCTCTTTTTTATTCTTTTTTTGAAAGGGAAAGTGTGCACAGGGACCACATCAGAAAATCAGAAAAGTCAGAAAATATCAATAGCCATTTATAAGGTAGCTTTTAACACTTAAATTTAAAATATGTTTCATGTAATTACATAAGCAATTTCAGTGAAAATGTGCTAAATTAAGCTTCTTTTCCCTAAACAAGCTAGAAGTTGTGATATTTTTCAGGAAAAAAAGGAAATCACTGCTCCATGCTTGGTTTTATATTTGAAATTCAGAGCAAGAGAACAGATATTTCAACTGTAAAAACTCAAAGAGGGGGGAAAAGTTAATGAACATAATCACTATTGCCTTAGTTACTGTGATAGAAACTAAAAAGCATTGCAATGCCTAGTTTTTCCTTTCAGTTGCACACTGGAGTATTCAGAAAGATCAGAGCTGCTGTGAGATGTTTACTAGTTGTTTTAAGCTATTAACTACCTTTGTTGAGCTTTTTGAAAAGCATTCTGTCTTCTTTGAATCACTACACAGGAATTGTAGCAGTTCAAATGTGTGCCCTTCATTAAATGAAAGGTCAGTATTCATGGTTTAAAAAGCTATATGGCTTGGTAAGAGCCTGGTCAAAAAGTCAGTAAAGGAAAGGGATATAGCTTGACATGATATGTTTTCAGTGTGGATTTTTAATAGTTATTTTAACCCCTTAGTTATAGCCAACAGAGGGGGTTAATACTGATTTTTCTAGGCTCTAAATTGCTAATTCAAGTTAAGTATTACAAAATATTCAGACATGCCAGGTCAAGAGAGTCAGACATTTAGGCACCTAGCAGCAAAACAAGCAAGCAATAATGTTTCTCTCCAAAAGCCTGTTTGAAAGTCGGGAGTTGTATTATTTTTCCTGGAAATGCAAATTCGTTCCACCTCATGTTTTCTTGGCAGGTCATATGCTGCATCATGTGAAGATTGGGTTAAAGGTAAAACAGTGTGTCCATCAAATCCCCTCCATCCTAATGGAAGCAACGATTCAGCCAATTACCCGCACGGTGCTCCGGGTGCGACTGAGCATCGCTCCTGACTTCACCTGGAACGACCAGGTAAAAGAAAAAGGAGGTGGAGGAAAAAGGGGAAGCATTATTTTAGCTTCAGTAAAGGAGGTGATCACAGAGTCCATAGCTGTTTGGAGAAGAAAAAAAAAACAAAACACCTCTTTCTTTTAGCTAAAAAGCAAATTTGATAATAGGAATGGAATGACCTTTAAGGCTTTTGCAGAAGGCGGCACCAAAAAATAATATTTTTATTTCCTTTAATTGGTACAGGATTTCACTGTCTGTAACAAGTGCTTATGCTGAGTATTAATAGTAGTCACACACAGATTTGAGTTGTATACCCAAAAAGGAGAAGGAAGAAAAAGGGAGACATGGATGTCTCTCTAAACTATGAATTAATGTCAAAGCCTTGAAATAGAGTTCATGTGTGCCAAGTTCTGCTGTTCTTTATGGCTTTACAAATGTGCATTCCCAACATCACTGCCTTTTTTTCTGTTGGGACTTGTCTGAGCAGAAAAACTGAGATATGTTTGAAATTAAATCAATTGATATTTTATGGTCCAAATTTATATGAAATGAGTTGTACTGGTTGCACATTTAGATATACCCACACTCTTTGATTCAGAGCTTGTACATTAGGAATAGATTTGAGATGAATCTAAATGAAACACCAGTGTCCACATGGGGGCATTGTATTGTTGCTGGTACTTCTTAAACTCTATAGAAAAACAAGGCAAAGATACCTCAATGTGAAAGCATATTGTTCTTTTTCTGTGTTTAGAAGATTTACACTTCAGATAAATTATTCTGAAAAGTGGATATTAAGTACTCTTTTTCTTTTTTAAAGTAATGTTATAGTCCCTTAGCTTATGAATTTAATCACGAGTAAATTAGAGTTTTATTCCACAAAAAAATGGTATTATTTTGGAATTTATTTTCCCTGCCTAAAGGCTTCTTTTTTTCTTTTGGAAGTTTCACCAAGTTAGCTTATGGTTGGGAAATAAATAATGAAAATATAGGAAGTTAGATTATTTTGTGTTGTTGCCTGGATTTATTACAAAAATATTTGAATGGGTTCCTAACATAAGTTATTTTTTGCTGCCTTATTTATATGCAATACTTCAGAAGGCAAACCAGCATTAATTGTTAGGATTGAAGCAAGTTTTCATTATTCAGTCTTTCATCCACTTCGCCTGTGGTCTATTAAAGGCAAAAAAACCCTATGACTGTTCTTCATATTAAACTGTATCTTAATACAGAGTAATTTCTCAAGCAATTTTTAGCTTTTTCTACAAAATTGAGGTTGATCTATATTTATACAAATTGAAAAAAGGTCCACACAGAATTATACACTTCTACTTTGAATCTGAACTTCTAAAGTTATAACAAAACTTAGGCAAAAATCTATTTTCTGCTCTCACCCCTTGACACAGTTTACCTAATGGTTGCTTTGGAAACATGATCATTTTATCAGTTCAACTTATGAAGCTCTTTTGATGTGAATTTGTATATTGGTACTCATTAAATCTTGGAAAAGTGGGTGGTTTTTGGTAAGGTAGCCATTGATTTTATTGTTTCTTCATTGTTTCTTCAGTAAATGAAACTTCTATTGCAGTAAATAAAAAAGCTGTTAATTTTCAATAGTCTCTAAAAATTAATAACTTTTAAATTCAACCATTGACACTTTAAAGCTGCTTCTCCATCATCACACAGTGTTCCAGCAAGCAGTTCAGCAGAAGACAATAGAAACTTATAGCTGTAATTACTACAAAAACTAGCTGCCAAAAAAATTCCATTCGAAAAATTGGAGTAATTAAATAAAATCATAATATTAAACATTTTAATTCTTAACTGAATTACCTCTCCTGGCTAACATTTTATGGTTTTAAGACTGTTCCTTTCCCGGAGTGCTTAATTCTAGGACAGTCTCATCACAAAGTTTGCACTTACCATTACAAGAGAAAGAAGGTATGTTTTGGTAGTCGTGAGATACGACATCATCTTGATCTTTTATGCAGTTTTCAGTGCTGGGAGCCCGTAATTTTGTTAAAATCCTGTGAGCCATATCCCAGTGGAAAATTCTTATTCTATCATTAGACGCAAAGGACTATAAACATAGCCAGACAGAGAAAGTAAACCTTGCTGCAGCCAGGAGGAGTCCAGCAGAAACACACAGTAACACAACTAGTGTGAATTAGCCAAGTCATGTATCAGAGATGCAGCTCTAAGGCCGTGGTTGCCCAAAATACAGGTATGTTTCAGTTCTCAAGAGCTCCCCAGAGTTCTTGAGAATCCTTACTGGAGAGCGTGTCATGTTGCCTCTTCCCACATTGCCTATTTTTCCCCATGCAGCTTTGCCACAGGGCTCTGCAAAACTAAGATGCTGTGACAGTTGATCATAACGTTTCTGAGCTTTGAACTTTTATCTCTTTCCTTAAGTCTTCTTTCCTCTCTTAACTTCTAAAACCTGATTAAAGTAATAGTCTCACTGTAATTTTTAAAAACACCACCTGCAGTGACCTGTATCCTTTCAGTTTCTCTGCTTCAGTTCCCAGTGAAGCTCCTAGGGAAATTCAATTGTAATGAAAATGACAGTGTCTTTGCTGTCCAGCTACTTCTCTGTGGCTCAACTGTGTTAAAAAGGCAACAGAAGCGCCTTAGTTCTATTCCTAGTGTACATATTTTTGTCTCCAAAAGTCAGTATAGACTGTTTTCCAACACATACACAATAATGCTTTATGTTTAAAATAATCTGTGCTGCATGGATCAGTATCAGATTCCTGTAGCATTAAAACTACCATTAGAGGCAACGATGCACTTTGTGGTTTTTTCCTATTAGGTAAAGTTCAGGAATAATTCCAACTTTTTTTCTTTTTTTTTCATCTTCATACTGGTTTTGTACAGAATCACAGAATTTTAGGAGTCGGAATGGACTTCTGGAGATCACTGAGTCCAACCCTCCTGCCAGAGCAGGACCAAATCTAGGGCAGGTCACCTTATGTACCTTATCACAGTCCTCATCAGAAACATCAGAAATCTATGTTGATTTAATACTGTGTCTTCATGCTCCTTTACTGTACATTTTTCTTCTTTTACTAAATGTTTAAGTAAAGTGCTTGTACATTGGCATAAGTCATTTGTTCTGAGAAAGAAACAAAAATTCTCAACTGAGCATGCCACCTAGCTATGATTTGTGGCTGGCAGTGTAAAATAAGGTACACAACAAAGCAAACAAAAATCTAGGATGGAATAAAGTGTTTCCAGATGGCATGGGAATGAATAAGAGACAGCTCTATTTATGTTCTTCTCATTTCACCTGTAGCAATGACTAGATCCATAGCCTTCTGAATCCACTTAATGAATCTTTCTACAGAAGGAAAGAGAGAAAGGACAAGAGAGGAATGTCACAATTCAGTGTCCAGTTTTTCCTCAGCTAATTTTTTTGACTGAGAAATAAGCAGTGGATAGAAAGGACAATCCTCTGTACAGAATCCAAAGACAGAAGTGCAAGGAGGAAAAAAGAGACTGAGTCCTTTTTTAGGAGCCTAGAGGAAACCCTGGGAGTTCAGTCTGTTTATAAACAGCTGATGCACCAGCTTCAGTTGCATTTATATAATGTCTATTTGTATGTACCTTAAGCAAAATCTTATTGACACGTAATCTTTAAGCAGAATATTATATTGCTCTTACAATATAATATCTTGTTATATATCGTTATATTGCTCTTGCCTCTGATTTTTATATTTCTTTGTAAGCTTAAATCATTTAGAAATAGATCCAGTATATTCAGCAAATGTCAAGAACCTCATTACAACAAAGTTATCTTTTCTGCTCTTAAAGGTACATGGCACTGTTGGAGAGCCGTGGTGGATCTGGGTAGAAGACCCTACAAATGATCACATTTATCATTCAGAGTATTTCATCATTCAAAAAAAACAGGTAATGACTTTTATTCAGAATCTCATGAAAGACAAAAGAGATGTGAGATGTGGATCTGTCGAACAGTAATTTGGCCTAAGCAACTTTCCAAGTCAGTAGCACAGTTTCAGATGTATGTGATAAACTTTGACTTCTACAAGAATGTTTTATAATCTCATCTGTCCATTTCTCTACTCTTTTGGTGGGATGGATACTCCCAAGAGAAAAAGTAAAACTGTAGTGGTCTTGTCTGTTAAAGAAAAAAGTGAAGAGCCAGACTTATTTTTAGCCTTTGAAGTTTGTGGGAACAAAATCTATTCCCAATGGTAAAACATTTTATAAAGATATGAAAATTTTGTACATGGAGTTGCACACATACTGTATTTCTTTGTGCTGGTAATGCTTTTGGAAGTCAGGAAAACTATGATTTTTCAAGTTAGTGATTTGTCTGTGCAGTAATTATTCTCTACACATTTGCTTTAGGTCATTACCAAAGAACCTCAACTGCTGGTGTTCACAATCCCAATTTTTGAACCTCTTCCATCTCAATATTACATTCGAGCTGTGTCTGATAGGTGGTTAGGAGCAGAGGCTGTATGTATCATAAATTTTCAACATTTGATTCTTCCAGAAAGACATCCACCCCACACAGGTAACTTCAAATTTGATAATTTTGTTTTAATTCATCTTGCTCATGTTGATTTTCCCTATAAGAGTGTGATAAAAATCTCTTAACTCTTGCTTCATCGTAGAGAAGCATATGGAATTTCACTTTGAAATATTGAGATATTAGTGAGACCATTTCTTCACTAACTTTAAAGTTCTCTAAATTTTTACATTCCTGGGCCAAAAAGGAATCTCAATGTCTCAACATATTACCAGCCCTTTATTTCTCCAGGTTCTTTCTAAACCATAGGAAAACTGAAAATGTCACCTAAAACATCCCAAATCTCTATGTTACAGTATGTCTTATCTTGTGAGCTTTACATTTCTTCTGGACTGGTTAAAAATAATCTTAGAGTAGATGGTTGTATTATAAATAGCATTCAGCAAAGAAAAAAGGTAAAATCTTGAAAATATGAAACATATTCCTATTTTTACTTAAATAAATTCATCATAGCAAGTACAGAACACTGCATTTCAACTCAGCACTCCTGATCAAGTCGTGGCCTTCCCCTCCCCCTCCTTTTTTAACACTTGGCACAGAAGCATATGTTTGTGTTTTGCTTCTTTTTTTCTGGATACATAAATTGCATTATACATTCATTGTGCCTGATGTCATTGTAAAACCTTTCCACTGTAATTACATTTGGCTCATCTAGCAGTCTGTGAAGTGAGTGCCTTCAGAAATGCTTGGTTCTCATACGGTGGTGTCCTTTGGCATGCATAAATTCACATGTGTTTGTGAAGTGTTTAGCTATTGTCATACTGTACCTAGGCTGTCTGGAAAAGCATGTGTAACCTTTTTATCTAATTGACTGATCACTGACTACTATTCAGAAGAAACAGAAAGATATTTACACATCACCAGTTATGGAGCCTCTAGGATTTATGGTAATTGATTTCAATTCCCATCTGGTTCCCACTCAACAATGAAGTATGTAGAGGCTCTGCTAGGCAAAAAAACCTTCTTTCTCCTCAACAGAGCCCAAGAAATCACAGTTTCAGTGGGAATGATAAAACACCCATAAAGTATCAGTGAAAAGCATGTGAAGGATATTAGACATCATTGCCTCAGTAGATTTTATGACTCCCACATCATACCTTAATGTGAAGCACCCTGAAAAGACAATGAGACCTCCAGACACAAAAAAAAAAAAAATAACCCCCCCCCCAAAAAAAACCCCAACACTTCAAAGCAAGCATCTGCATAGCAGAATCACTGCAGTCTCCCTAATTTGGTAGGATTCCAAATCCAATCTGGTTATATATATATCATCTTCCAAATTCCATAATCTCTAATTGTTTGGATAGCAGACACTCTCAAGTTATGTTGAGAATCGTACACTGAAAGGCTGTTTGTTTATGTATTGATATTATGTCTTTACTTACATGTCTGAAGGATTAGATGCAAAATACAGTTGTACTCATCTGATTTGTATTACTCCATCAGCTTAGAAACTCCAAAGAGTCCTTCCTTCTTAAATAGATTTTTTCCTTGAATCTGACATATACAGACTGTGCTGTCCTCCAGCTCCACATTCTGTTATTATAAGAAGCTGGACATACACATAATCTAATGCATCTATTAACAGTGAATTTAAAATTTACTACAGCTGGGTTAAAAAAAAATACACAACAGCTTTAAGAGACAAGATTATTTATGAATGGATAATTCACAGCTATCAGAATGCAAACAACAGTGCTTGTCTAAACACTTCACAGCTATGAAGTCAATGTTTCATTATTCCTCATCACATTTAAAAATAACCAAATATGGACTTTGTGTCATATGAGATATTAAGTAAAACAATTTTCAATATAAGTTATTTTCCACTAAAGTATTGGTTAATATCTTTGTCTTCATCATAGACAATGCTAAGACATGGCATCACTTGTCATGTATTTGTGTTTATTTTGGTATTTTAGAGCTTCTGGATCTTCAGCCTTTGCCTATCACAGCCTTGGGACATCGGGAATATGAACTCCTGTACAAATTCACACATTTCAACCCTATCCAGACCCAGATATTTCATACACTTTACCACACAGACTGTAATGTTCTTCTTGGAGCACCTACAGGTTCTGGAAAAACTGTTGCAGCTGAATTAGCCATCTTTAGAGTTTTTAACAAGTATCCCACATCAAAGGTTTGTAAAACAGGTTTACTAGGATCATTTTGGGTAAGCATGTTTTCAGCAATACAGAAGTCCAGATTATGGCAAACTGAAATTTGCTTTCTCCAGTTCATACCTCTCTAGATTCAAAATGATACAGCATTATGTATGCCATACTTTTATTTCAACTTTGTATATTAATCAGTGTACAACTACAGTTAAATCTGAAAACATGACACACATATGCTGGATTTCCTTTCCTGTGCTTACCTGCATTTCCTGCTTTAATATCATTCTGCTAGCTGTATTTTTGTAGCATTAGTTCCCCTCCATGTGAATGCATCAAGCCGTGTCTCTCTCTTATTTAAGTAAACAAGTTGCAATTAATTACTGCAAGCCAATTTTGTGTTCCAACTTACCCTTGGGTTTTATTTCTTAAACTGTCTAAAAGCTAAAAAACTCAACTTTTGAGGTTTTGTTTTCAAAGTGAATAAAAAATCTGTATCTTGACTTAGCCATCTTTTTTAGTTACCCACATTTTTACCTTTAGTCTTTGCAAAATATGTGTATCTAATTGTGAGATTTAACCACAGAACAGCCTTTGAAAGTAACAGAAATCATGTACGTAAATCCCTTCTTCATCTTTGACATTTCAGTTTCTTCATGTTCAAAAGATTCAGAATAGTTAATCATAAATCCATAAATAAATACTATTTCTACATGTCAGAGTATTCCCCACTGCACAACAGGCTTCTTTGAGGAAAATGCTCTGACATTTTGCTTAAAACAATCAGCTTTTTAATTGAATTGGTAATGTCGTAATAAATTAAAGACATAACTAGAAATGGGGTAAGATATTGCTTGCTGGAAATGCTCATTATTTCTGTTCTAGAATGTTAGTTTGCAGATTCTATAGTTCTGCCAAAAATGGCATTTTTATATAGGAAGGTTTTGATACTAAATGAAATGACAAATACTTTCATTTCAATAAATTATTCTTTCTGTTTCTTAATTTATTTGCTTGTTAATGGCTCATGAACAAAAGCACTATTTTCAAGTGGTAAATCTGTTTTAAATCTAATCCTGACATAGGTAATTTAAGGAATTCAGGGCTTAATCACTTTATGGATTGTGAGCATGTGAAATCATTTTTCCCTGGTAGGTGCACTTTAATAAATGTTTCTTGTGTAACTTCTAGTTTTGTGACTTTCTTTTGCAGGCAGTGTATATTGCACCTTTAAAAGCACTTGTTCGGGAAAGAATTGAGGACTGGAAAGTTAGGATTGAAGAAAAACTTGGTAAAAAGTATGTTTCTCCTTCCCTAATCAGAGAAATGAGAAGCGAAAGAACAGCCCAAGTGTGAATAAAAATCAATGATCAAGTATGAATAAAATCTACAGAATACTTTTGAGTATTTCAAAATAGGTTTACTATTGTATTGTAGTAGCCTTCTAGTACTTAAAGAATCAAAAATGCTATCAGTAGTCATTGTAGTGAAAACAAAATCCAAACTAAAAAAAGAATACACTTTGATACCCAGCTCATTTCATTCTCATTACTTACCAGTATAACAAATATGAAGCTCAGATTTCTTTCTGCAGTATCCTGGGAAATTCAAATTGCAATTCAAAGTAAGCTACTGTAGAAGCCTCAGCTAGAAGGAGCTCATAGGAGTTGCATGAATTCCATACTAGTCCTTCTTATATTGTCCTTCTTACATAAATTAGATATAATTTCATTCCTTGGTAACATTAATTTCCTGGCGATCTTCTCAGGTGTTGGAGTTCAGCTATTGCTTCATGACATATAAGGTGTATCAGTCATGTTCATGCTTTCCAAAATTACACCATCTTCAGTTAAAAATTATATCCATAGGATGTATTATTTAGGGACTTTCCCTTTCCTATATATAGCTTTTTTGGTAAGTTAAAGCTCAAAGCAAACCACAGGTTTTAATAGAAACAGGTACTACTCTGTGCTACGCTGAAATGACTAGTGAGATTCCTGCTATTATCATAGCAGTGAATTAACTGGCAGGTTTGCTATTTTTTGCTATTTTCATGGCCTGTAAGGATAAATTATTTGCCTCATAATTTTAAAATATTTTCAGGTAATACTCCCTTTTTAAAATTTACTCTAGTACTTATGACTGAAGTTTGAACAGAAGATTCATATAACAGTGAGGAATTTTTCTTAAATATTCAAGTGGGTGTAGAATGTGTCATAGAATTGTCAAAAATCCATTATATTCAGCTCAAATCCTGCTTGTAGAAATCAAAAGGATAATAAAGCAAATATTTGGGGAAGCTCTGCTTATCTTCCAAAAACTTTAAGTCAGGGAAATTTCTGCTACAGGCTTAATGGAACTTCACCAACAACTGCAGATGGGCTGCAATCTAGCCTCATTATTCAAACCAGAGATCCATACAGAACAGCAGGCAGCAGCTTGGTAGCTTTCTAGAAAGCTTTCATCCTGATTATGACAGGATGTTATGATTCACATTATATCATACTTATATTATTATATGATGTTCTTTTTGAAAAATGAACCAGAGATGGTTTGGGACTCAAATTTACCCTTTTCTAAGGAACGATATTCATGATGTACATGGTATCAGCTAGGAAAACAGAGACAGGTTTATTTTCTTACAATCATTTTGAAAATCCTGTTGGAAGCATTTGACCAGAAACAAAATTACTTCTTTAAAATGTTGTTTCTTTTCTCTTTTAAGAGTTAATATTTAGGAGTTAGTATTTGAACTTTAAGATTCTTTGTAAAGCCAAGCCACCATCTTTTTTGATTACAGGGTGGTAGAGTTGACAGGAGATGTGACTCCTGATATGAGAGCTATTGCCCAAGCTGACCTGATTGTTACTACCCCTGAGAAGTGGGATGGTGTCAGCAGAAGCTGGCAGAACAGAAGCTATGTTCAGAAAGTTTCCATTCTTATCATAGATGAGATCCATCTGCTAGGTGAGCATGTTGTTTTTAATCAGAACTGGAAGAAATCTGCTGGTACTAGTGATGTAAATATGCTTTTGGACATCTTAACTTTTTCTTTTTATCTGTTTTTCAATGGACTTCACCTTTACCAGGGGATGAGAGAGGGCCAGTGTTGGAAGTCATTGTGTCTCGAACCAACTTCATCTCATCTCACACAGAGAAACCTGTAAGAGTAGTTGGTTTATCCACTGCTTTAGCAAATGCCAGGGACCTTGCTGACTGGCTAAATATTAATCAGGTAGGAAAAATGTTTTAGAGGATGGACATGTATTTGTGCTGCAGAAACACAAGCCAGCAATTTATAAGATAATCCAGGGTTAAACTTGGGAAAAAAAATCTTCTCTTTCAGATGGGTCTGTTCAACTTCCGACCATCGGTCCGCCCAGTTCCCCTGGAGGTGCACATTCAGGGCTTCCCTGGCCAACATTACTGTCCTCGCATGGCTAGCATGAACAAACCTGCATTTCAGGGTAAGCAACAAGCCCCTAGACTTCTTCTGTGAAACAAAAAAAAAAAAAAAAAAAAAAAGTCTTGCAGACTTTACCCAAGTCATTTTTCACACAACCATCGGTCCGCCCAGTTCCCCTGGAGGTGCACATTCAGGGCTTCCCTGGCCAACATTACTGTCCTCGCATGGCTAGCATGAACAAACCTGCATTTCAGGGTAAGCAACAAGCCCCTAGACTTCTTCTGTGAAACCAAAAAAAAAAAAAAAAAAAAGGCCCTGAGCACTTTACACAGTTCATTTGCAGCACATTTACAACATGTGTTACTGTATGTAACATGTGTTACTCTTGGCGTGTATAGGGGGAATCTGCTCTGATAATGGCCCAGAGCTATTTGTCTGAAGCATTAAGCGTGCTGCAAATGCAACATGCAACAGAGGAATGGGATGTATTTAGAACAGAAGAATAAAATTAGTGCTAATGAAGGGGAAATAAAATGTGTTTTCTCTTAGTGTTCGACACCGTAAAGAAACGTTTGCGTAAAAATATTTGAAATTTAGAACGTAATAAAACCCTTCATATTATTAATCCGCTGAGGTATTTTTATGTGGATCACTGTATGTAAGTGTTAAAAAAATTGTGAACAGAAGTTGCGAGTCAGGCCAACCTCCTATAATTCTAGTTTCAAAGCAATAACCATAAAAATCAAAATTCGTAGTGCATCCAGATATGCTTCTGTTTTCAATTTTTTATTCTTAAGAAAGCTGGACAGCAGGATAGATTTAAGAAAAACTCATATTTTATTTGAATATGTTTTGGGTTTGTTACATAAGGAATATTTATTATATCAATTAAAAATAACCTCCAAAATAAATTTTGTAATGCAAACTGCTGTTGATTATGAGGTGACATTTGTGAGGTGACTTTTTAGCTGCTTTAATTAGCCTTATGACAGAAGCAAAGTATTGATTGTGGACTAGAGACCAGTCTTGACAGCTCAGATTATTTACACCTCCACAAGAGCATTGTACAAAAACACTAATGAACAATAAATCTGTCTTGGGCTGTTCTGCCACACCTGTTCCTGAAACAACAAAAATCCATTAGATGCTGGGCTTTTAAAATATATAGATATATTGGCATATATAGTTGTAAGGTATAAATACACATGAATTACCCTGTGTTGATAATTTCAGAACTGTATAGTGTGTTTGTGCAGGAGCACATGCACATGAATTTAGGAATATGTGATGGTGGATAGCATGGAATATTTTTCAGAAAACATGCACATGAATTGTGAATGATGGTGGATAGCATGGAATATTTTTCAGAAATTAACAATGCATAAATTTATGAATGAGAATTACATTAGAAAACACAAAAATGGATTTATAAGAGATTTAGAGAGAGCATTTGAAATTCTATGTACACTACAGACTTCTAGTGCTTGTTGATGTTAGAAAATCTGTAGACATATGATTTATTGAGGGCATTTTCCCCACTTGTTTGACCTGATATAGTCAAGGTTATTTTAGCATTTCCATGCATTTTGCTGCAACCTGAAACTTTTCAAATATGGACTTAGCAAGAAAAGGCTTTTTTTTTCAAGCCCTAAAAGCCTAGTTGGTTTAAATATATCAGAATAATTAGTAAACAACAGAGACAGAGTTCTTTTTGTACCATAATGCCCACTTTTTACAACAGCTATTGAAAAGCTACTTTTACTTTCTCTGGTTTTGGTAGATTGATCCTTTGCAGGCAGACATGGGTTTATGCAGTCTGAGCTCTGGCAGAAAAGAAGTTTTGGGCCTTAATGGCACTTAGCCTTAGACAACACGTCCCAATCAGATGAAAAAAACATAACATAGTTATTAGGCTGAGATGGAGAAATTCAGGAATTTTGAAGTCTAGAAAGTTTGTCCAGGTTTTGTGGTGTTCAGGTGTTTTTTTTTCCTAGACGCTTCTCTTAAATCTTCAGCTTACAATGATCACTGAAGTAGCAGGGCAAATAAACTCAGACTCAGCATAGTTATATGATATTTGATTGAGAGATGATACATGCTCACCTCAGTTTTATCTATCTGGCAGAAAAGAGACTACGTATACATACCTGCATACCATCTTCAGAGAGGTATATCAGCTGTCTGGGTATTGCAAAGAGAAACTCTAATTTTTATCATTAAAGGGCCTATTTCTCAAGTTCTGTTTTCCTCAACAGCAATTCGAAGTCATTCTCCAGCCAAGCCTGTTCTTATTTTCGTGTCATCCAGACGTCAGACAAGACTTACTGCCTTAGATCTGATCGCTTTCCTAGCCACTGAGGATGATCCCAAACAATGGCTGAAGATGGATGAAAGAGAGGTAGAATCATTTTACCTGCATTACTGGTGCTTTGCTTCTCTTTTATTGATGCTTGTTGGAAAAGAAAATACATCTAAAACACAGGAGTGGTTTGAGGGTAGATCTTGAAACACCTGTGCACATGGTGAATTTCAATATGTATAAAAATCTGTCAGCGTTGAGACTGTATAAGGATCTTTGCAGGATCTGACCTTTAGAATGCAAAGTCTTTTATCTTTTTTTTTTCCTGCATATCTATTATTAATGCTAGTTCCCTTGTCCCAAACAACTTATATCACATGATACGAGTCTTTGATATGAAGATAAGACGAAGAATAAAAGAGGACTAGTGTTCTCCAAAGTTTACAGCTGGCAATCTGTGACATAGATGTTGAGCTGGAACTTAAACCAAATTTCTTTCAGTGTTTTAGGAGCAAAATCATCCTCTTTATGTGTAGAGGGTTATGTATATGCATATATGTGTGTGTATGAACATATGTATGCACGTGTCTACCCATCTATATTCATACATATATAGAGATAGATATACTGCAGAACCAGTAGCTTAGGAATGGCTCAGTCTTGCATATCAGTGAAGTAAATCAATGTTCCAAAACAAAATAAGATAAATTCTGCCAGTTTCTCTTTTATAAATATTAAATATATTTTATTAATATTTATTATTATTGTTATTTATTTTTTATTAATATTAAATAATGTTGATATTATTAATATTTGTAAATATTACAAAGTCAAATACTCAGATGTTAAGCAATGCTGGAGTAAAGGTTTAAAATTTTGTTCTTTTTCAAACAATATAATCTCTATTCAATACTCTGTTTTATCTGCACTCTTCAAAACATACACTAGATTTTATGTACCTGGTTCTGCACCTGCTCAGAATACAGAATTATTTATTTCCTTCTGGACTAATGGTCCTGATAGTAGTGCATCATTGCTCCAAAGCAATTCTTTTGGTTGATATTCAGGTTTCCTAGATATTGGAAGTTAGATTTCTCTAATGATTGCAGATATTCTGCATTGGAACCACAGGAAAAACACAGCAAAATGCACAACTCACAAATACAAGGTCCAAATTGGATGTTGTATGAATATTTATATATCAACAGTTGTAGGAATAGTTATACAATTGTATCCCAAAAATTATATGCCAAAAAATATAGGTTTCTAGATGAGATTATTTTATTTTGTTTGCTCTTTGCTAAGAAATAAAGTGTGATTTTCAGAGGTAAAGCATAACCTCTGTATTCTTCCACTTTTGGATAGATTCTTGAAAGAGAAAATGGATTTCTTGGCTGATAAATTACTAGTACTAAAACACATCTCAACTTAATGCTGCTTTTCTAACTGTATAACCTCTAATGTTTTCTTGAGCATAACAGAAACACTTCATATCAAAATTATTACTGTGTAATAGAGCACTCTAGTACCTTATGCTAGTTTACTGTAGTAATCTCACCTACAATTAGAATATGCAACGTGCAGTTTGCCCTAAATGGCTTGCACTGGTGTGAAGAGCTTCTTCGTGTCCTGTGAGCCACTACCACCTTAAAAAGAACTGTAAACAAAGGTTCTTAGCCTGGCTGCTAAAGGGAGAGTAATAGTCTTTGGGTTTTCTGTGTTTCAGAATATGCCTCTGAAGGTTTTGAAAGAGGAGCCACCAAGGACAAGCAGACTTTGCATTTATTAGTTTAATAACATTTGCATATGATTTGTATTTGAATTTATAAGCTGAGTGTTTGGAGCCTAAGATACCTACCAAGTTACTCAGTTCTGATTACGTAAATATAAAATACTGAACATTAAGCACTAAGTTGTTATATCTCTACCACTATTATGTAGCACACAATTGTGTTTGAAGTACCCACAATTTCAAGTCGATATTTCTTAGGTAATTATGGGACCAGTTTGTAGTTTTGTGTTTTAAATGAACATGATTAGCTTGAGTTTCATTTGACATTGAAGAAAAAGACAAAGCTGTAACAGCCTGTCATAAGTACTGTATGTACTGCTGAATTCTTTATCTATAGCAATTGTTTTTTATTTAAAAATACTAATGTCAAGTTATATTAACGTCAAGCTTGGACAAGGTGAAATAGACAGAATTATCTCTGTATTGCTATAGCGTTTTAAGTTTTAAAATTAGGACAAGTGCATATTTAGTTACTTTATAGTAGGTATTCCCTATCTTTAATACTTGCCTGAGTGTTTCAAGTATTTCTCAATTCCATATGGAATAAAAATTTACCAGTTAGAAGAGATAAATTATTGTTGCCTTTAAACAGGAGTTTTTGTTGCCTGTCATTTTTTCACATTTTTTTTTTTCCAACCAATGTTCCTTTAGGGGAACTTACAGACAAATTAATATATATTTAAAGTATTTGTAACTGTTAATTGTGAAATGTGTTGAGATGTAAGAGATTTTTCATAAATGAGTGGATACAAAATTTACAAGTGTACAAGAGGTCCTGACACTTTTCTTCTTTCAGCCTTATTTATATGACATTAACTTTGGCTGACACAAGATTCCTTTAAGAACTCATTGGTTAGTTTTGTTTAATGATGTAATTGGTTTTGCTACATGATGGCTGAAAGTGTATGTTTATGTTTGCTTCCTAATGGGTAGGATTCATAAAGCCTCTTAAAATGCAGCAAACAGTACCATCCATAATAGCATTAGGAAGACTTACATTGAGGTAGACAGACTCTTACAGTCATGAAAAGTGGGTTTTCTCTGTTACCCTGCATGGCAGCTTTTCTGTGATGTTAACAGAGAGATTCAGACCTTGTGGAGGAGGAGAGAGACCAATAGGGGCTCTTTGATAGCTGTTTATCAGTTCTGCCATTATCTTACCTTCTCTTATCTTCTCAATAGAGATTCTTCTTGTAGCAGTAGTGCCAAAGTAGGCTCTAAAGATTGTGAAGGGTTCTCTTCACAAAATTCCAGACTACTTCACCAGTACTCTCAGATAACAAGGCAAATTCACCCCTGTCTCTGCCACCTGGCTCCAAATATCAAATTCAGACAATATTTCAAAGGATATGAAGTTGTATGAAGCTTCTGGACTACACATTTGTATGTAGAAATGAGGACCAGAAACAACCCTTCATGTGTTGGCACCACAGTAGACACCGGCATACATGGACCAGGGAGGTATCATACAAGATATTCTTTCCCCCAGAGGAGTTAGTAGTCTAATAGATGCAGCAGCATTATAGTGGAGAAGGAATTCTGTTCTACCTTCATCTACTGAAAATATCTATTATAGACAGCTCTGTTGGTTTTGGAGATGAACCTACATGGATGCATTCCTTGAACTTCATGTCTGATACACACTTTTCTGCTCATACCCATGTTCCTACAGTATTCAGAAAGTTGAGACAGTAGTCAGTCTTCAGAAGACTTAATGAAAATTACTGCTTCTTGTACTGATAATTTTTTCCAGTTCTGCTGGACCTGTTTTTGCACAATAGTTGGTAGATCTGTTTAATAGGTTCCATCCAACTAAGTTTCAGGCTGTGTGTGTGCTTTTTTATGGAGAAATGACCAGTCAAATACCTCATGTCTAGTTTAGTCTGAGCAAGGAAGCCTCCAGTGATGTTGAAATACCCTAATTACTGAGATTTGTAGCTGGTTCTTCAAAGCTCATCCCTACATTTAAAATCTGTGTGAGTAGCACATGCAGAGGTTCTTCAGGATTTAAGCAGGACTGCTGTGTTTGGCTTAAACCAGAGTGTGAGTAGGCAGTCTCAGGAAGAAGAAAGAATGGTTACCTATTTTAGAGCCTAGGAGGTGGGTTTTTTTCTCTTTCTCAAAGGTGCATTGTCCATGCACATTCCAGAATGTGAATCTATCCATCTCAGGATTTGCAGTCCCAACACAGAGTTTGTTTTTCACCAAAGGGTGAAGAAGTAACTGAAGGTGCCATCCTTGCCCTTTGCAGTAGGACTTTGCCATTGGCAGGGACTCTTCGGTAGACATCACTCTGCACACATCATCCTCGTTGTACTTCTGAGGCACAGGTGTAACCTACAGAAATTTGGTCAGGCAGTGCATCTCAAAGAGAAGACTGCCCCTGTAAAGGGAGTGATTCTTGATTTCTTTTTATTGTTCATTGATGCCAGTGTGCCAGTGAAAAAAAACAGCCAAAAAACTTATGCTTTCCCTGCTTTTTTGTATCATCATGAGATTATTTCTAAATATAACATTTCTAGCTAAAATTCTCATGTGGAGCTGTCAGCCAGGACTATCACATTCAGTGTGACCCATTATTTATCTTGTTGAAAGGGACAACAGCTCAGATTATCCTTTTGGAAGCAGCCAGTGCCACCCGTCTGTGGTGGTAAACTTGGGTAAGATCAGTGATACTGTTCTACATTAAGAGCTGACTAAAGAGGCTCAAGTCCTCCTCTTTCAGAAATTGCATCTACATCTGTGGTGGTGGCAGATGTTGCAATCTTTTTACAACATAATTTATTAGAATCAAGTTTTCAGTTTATTTTTCTCTAATGTTTTTACTGGGTTTTTTTCTTTTTAACGTAACACAAAAGTACGAAGTAGTATTTATTGTTTATTGTATGCAGTTAGAATGCAGTTCTTACCATCAAACAAGCAGGATGTTTTCTTATTTGGTGGTCACAGGTTTTTTTTTTAAAGAAATTTATTCACTGGGTAGATATTTGGATTTTTTTATCAATACATTTACAGTGCAAGGACTGAGAAGAGATGTACCCATGCATATAGTTTTAACTGTAGAGATTTCTGCATTCTGCTTTGTGCATCATTTTACCATCTGCATCTTGTTAAGACTGTTCTTTATGAAACCTCTAACTAAAAATCTTTTAGCACAAACATACCTACTGCAATATTCAATAGCACCCATACCAGGTAATTGCCAGCTTCCACTGAATTCAGGGGCACTTGAATGACAGGTATTCATTGAATCTAGAAGAATGAATCAGGCCCATGCTGATTTTGCTATTTTAAAGTTGTGAGTGTATAAACATGTGTGATCTAATTATGGATTTTTATATGTGTTTGTACACTGTCTGGAAATATGCATAGACACATGCATGAAATTGAATTAAATTTTACCATATAGTTTTGTTTTGCATTGCTAAAAAAAACACACACACATATCCCAAAAAAATAAAACAGCCCCAAGAATTGTTGAAAAGACAAAAGATTACTTTTTCTTCTCTAACTTTAAATCAAATAACCTATTATCTCCATGTTATTGTTCTGAGGTAATGCTGTGCTATAAAACAGGAACAGAAGAATCTGGTCTGTGTCATGAATGGGTATATTGCTGTCTCTTAGATGAGATTGTTAGTGTTAAATGTAGATGCTTTAATAATACATCTTAACTGTTTAAAGCTTATTTTTAAATGTTTCTTCAGTAATCTTATTTGAGGTGGTTTAAGCATCCTGTTTGTATTGGGAGAGTTCTGGAGTAGGAGGATGTCAACTCTTCATCAAAAATAATTTTACAAGATGGCTTTTTTTTTCTGCCCTTAAAGATGAGGAAGGGTACCCAAGAATGATTTCTAAGTGTTTTGCTCATTATAGAAGTTCAACTTCCTTCTACAAGATGTATCTTTTATGACACCAAAGTGTGCCATAAAAAATTAACATTTAGTTATAACAAGGAGATGTTTTTATTTCACTTAACATCTGTAGCAGATGTGAAATATGTAATTATTTTTGTAAAAGACTTCATAACTTTCATGATTCTTTTGTTTGGCACATCTTTCTTCTATTGGGCATTTTAGACAATTGATAAGCATTATTCAGTGGCATATGGTCTGAGTCTGACGTGCTTTGAAAAGAGTACAGAGTACTAATAATGAGGATTCTGTGAAAATGGGAAAACCAGCACAACAGATATGCTTTGAGAAAGTATGGGTTTTTAGCATCTTGAAACAATATATCACACTCAAAGGGACAGAATTGGGCTGCACAATCTGTTAGCTCATTCTTGTCCAATCTGGTCTCCTCCTTTCTTTTGGAGCCAGCATTGTCATCAACTTGCTGAATTATACTCTGACTGGAATGTATTTCAGGCACAGGGTAATGTATCTACTTAAATGGAATCCTATCTTTCTACAAAAGCTTTTTAAGTATAATAAATTTTAAAATATAAAAAAGCTCTATTAGCTTAAAGTAAATGGTTCAACAGTTTACATATGTGCAGGAACAAAGAAAATTACTACTTACTAGTTTGAGAAAAATCTAGCTTGTTCAGAGATCACAATATAAAAGGCAGAAATAAACTTCATTTTTTATAATAAATATTTTGCAATGCTATTAGAATCTCAAATGGATTTTCAACGTGGTTTTTTTTTTTTTTAATTAAAAGGTGGATTCCTAATCAACCTAATGTTAGAAAAGCACGAGAGGTATTTGTGCTTGTTCATCAAAAAATCTGTGAAGGACCCACATGGGCCCAGTCCTGCCTTGCATCAAGTTCCCTGCATTGGTGTTATATGGGGTTTTTTATGTCAGTACCACGTATATTTCCTTATATTATTTTTACTATACATTTCTTGTTCTTAAGGTAAAATATATTTTCTTCACCCTTTTATGAGTTAATATTACAGTTGTTTTCAGAATGATAAATAGTAATGAAGTTATAACAGTGCAGAAACATTAGATTTGTTTTATAGTCACGATGTTGTGTCTGGTTCTGCTTAATGAACCTATTAATTGTGCCATTATTTCTTAATAGAAAGTGATAATACTCTTACACTATACTGACATAAGAGAGTTATATTTTTTTAATACATTTTCATGAGAATGTTAAGCCTTGGATTGTGCCTACAGCTAAAATAGTTGTGTTTATTACATTGATTTATGTGAAAATAAGGGGTCAGCTAAAAATTACTAGGATTCCCTGCTGCTAAAATGACAGGACAGTAGTACATGCACCAGCTCTCCTGCTAAGGGTTCTTTAGTTTTCCTGTGGTAAATTACAGAGCTTTGCAGGTATGACTAACAGCACCACAGGCCACTGCTGTAATACAAGTCAGAGGGAAGAAAAAAAAATAACCACCACTGATTGTAAAAGCAAGAAGAACATCTTTGAATAAATCCCCAGAAGCGTGAATTTAGGATGTTTTATGCTGGCAAAAAGGTTTAGTTCAGGTTCTGTCCTGAAAATAACTAACACTGTAAAACTGCCTGTGCTGAAGAAGCAGTGAATTACTATAGACTAATCCAAATCAGCTAATTTGATCCCTGTGCTCTGCTAAAGGAAAAGGGAGTTTAGATTCATTATTTTCCCAATACCAAATTCTGCTCATGTGAATAATGAAATAAAGATCTTTGGAACTGGCTTGTTCCCTTACATTAAAGACATAACTATCATAATGTGATGATACTTGGTGGCGAGGAGGAAAATTAATTCAGCAATATAATATCTTTTGTCAGTTTTTGAATGCAGATGTGGGGTAAAATGTAAATGCAGTATTTTTTTTTTCATTTATTTTTCTGGTATTTACCAGAGCTATTTTGAACTTGTTCATCTTAATTCCCTATCAAATGTATACATGTGACTACTATTTCTCAAAGTGTCTGAGCATAAGGAGCCTGTGTGCTTCTACTACCACTTCATAAATCCACAGCATAAAAAGCATTAGTAGGTTAAAAAATATATTCAGTAATATATGTTGATGATCATAATTGTAGAGAAAACAGTGTATGGGTTCTCATTTTATCAAGCTATTTTTCTGTCTTAGAAGAAAAAATCTCTAAGATGGGTCATAATTCATGTTGTCTGTGCTGCAGTCACATGTCTACATGGTGACTGGGGGAATCAAAGGTTTGCTGATTGTATCTAGATAGATAAACTTTATCCTCTAACATATCCTCCTTTCATTGAATTCTTTACTCTCTTCTACTTATCTACTTGTCTTGTTCCCAACTCCTAAATAGACTTATCCCCTCTTCACTTCTCAATTAGTTTTTTTTCTTTCTGCTTCCTTGCCTTTTGGTGTTTATAGCCCCTTTCACTCTTTTCTTCTGTAGGCATCATTTTCTTCAATACATGCCAGCTCAGTTTATGCAACAAACCTTCCATGTCTTATAATACGGGAAACACGAGCATCCAGGCAACTGGATTGTGGAGGGAAAATGTTTAGGAGCTTCCATTGACACATCAATTTGATTGGACCAAGACAAAACTTGAACAGTATTTTTTTTAATTGGGTTCTCTGTTACTTCCATCAGTTCTGGTTCTGTTAATCAATACTGCTTCACCAAACAGACTCTTTAAAATGCTTTGTAATTTAACCTGCCTGACCCAATTGCTTGATTTACAAAATCTATATTGTTTGTTGGAGTTTTTTAAATCCTGAATATGGACCATTTTATTCTCTAGGGTTTTAGTACCTTTTAAGGATGCTTGTTTGTAATAGTAGTGACATATGTTACTTGGGTTTAGAGATGTGAATAATTTTATTAACATTAATGTCAGAGAATTATAAGAGCCAGAAAACATTTAGAGGTGTTTACTATTCTGAACTTTGCAAGTGCAACACCTAGTCCCTAAGGGGGAATGAAGTTATGCCTGCAGTTGTGCAGGTATCATACCTCAGTACTTTGAGGTACTCAATCTGAGATGAGACTGAATACTCAGTCCAAATTCTTCACTTACTCTGAGCAATTTGTTTTACACTACTATTTTTTCTCTAAACTTGGCTGTACCTCCTGTATTACTCATAAATGATGCTGCCCATAAGTATGTAATATCATTGTGTCACTGCTGGTGGCACCAGGAAACCACTAATAAGAGACAAGGTTTGAAAGTTCCTGGCTATAATTATATTAAAATTCAGAAAACAGGCTTTAGAAATAAAACAACAGGAGGAATATTGTGGAATATCGCATAATAAAATGACTAAATAAGAAGTTATAAAGCTCTTGTTCATTATGAGGGGCTTTTTACAGAGGTCATCTTCAGAAATAAAGGAGTTTATTATGGAATTTACTACTTGAAAACATAGGCAAGAAGTATAGTTAAAATTATAGTCGTTAAAATTATTCTAAGTGGTCATTGACATGAGATTTGAAAAAATAGTCATTAAAAATACCTTTTTGTCTGAATTTCTAAAAGTTTAAAATGTAGACACTTACTGTATGTTGGGATTCACAACAGGGTTTGAGTCTCATAAATTCCAAACTCACTCAAAAAAAAAATTTCAAATGAATGTGCATTTAAGCATGTCAGTAGAAAACTTTTTTAATGAATAATAATTGCAGAATTACCAAACTGAAGAACCCCGTCTGTCTTTTCATAGTCATTAGAGAGAGGCAAATTTCTTTTTCATGACTGTTATGATGTTATTTGTTGCAGGGATTTGCTATGTTTTTATCCCAGTTCTAATCCCTTTGATACCAGGGGTTGCATTAAACAAACACAGAGCAGAATGTCCAGCATTTGCCAAACCTGTCAAGATATTTTCAGCATTTTCATTTCCTTATCTGCGTTGCTTAGTGTGTCAATAAAGCCATATGAATTTTGTATTCTCCCGTCATTAATATAGTGTTTGATTTTTTTTTTCAGACTCAAACCATACTATTCAGTGACTGAAGACTCTTTGTATTTGTATAAACAGCACTGAGCAAATTCTCCTTGCTATTAAAAAAAAAAAAGAAACTAACAAGCACGAAAGTTTCACAGTTTCTGAGTAGTATGTTTTAAATATGCAACTAATCTTTCTCTTACAGATGAATGACATTATAGTGACAGTCAGAGATTCAAATCTGAAGCTGACACTTGCTTTTGGAATAGGAATGCACCATGCAGGTCTGCATGAGAGAGACAGGAAAACTGTAGAAGAATTGTTTGTGAACTGCAAAATCCAGGTACGTCTGTTCTTTGAATTCTGCCGTAATGAGTTTTACATGGAATTTTAAAAGTTGGCTTTTTGTTACATTTACCTCATTAATCTTTCCTTCTGTTTTAGGTTCTTATTGCCACAAGCACATTAGCTTGGGGTGTAAATTTTCCAGCTCATTTAGTAATTGTTAAAGGAACAGAATACTATGATGGAAAAACAAGGCGTTATGTGGATTATCCCATTACAGGTACTCACATAAATTATGGAAATGCTCAGATGCTGAAATTTATTTCAAGCATATGTAAATTATCTTAATTATTTAGTAACTGATCACTGAAAATACCTAATTTGGACACTAAGAGTGCTGAGGAAAAGATTTCTGTGTTTAATTCAATAGAACTCCTTAAGATTTTATGTAATAATGAAAATGTTTCTGTTTGGCAAATCTTTTTTCCATGCTAAATTCCTTTAAGTGAATCATCCAAACTAGAAATTAAAGGGAAAATATAAAGTCATTTTTAGCTACCTAGTTAATTGTTTAAAAAAAAGTTTTCATGTATCAAATAATTTTTTTCATTTTGAAACCTGTTTTAAATAGAAACAGATTTCTAACAGTTTACTTAGCCGTGGTTTGAAATGCAACAGTTGAATCACATATATGAGAACATAAAATTTATACGTAGTCGCTTGACAGTAAACAAAAAACCTTAGTATCTGCAGTGATGGAAGTGATACTTGAAGTAAGTGATACTTCAAAAATAAGCAGCTAAATTAAATATTTGAATTTCTGGTTTGATATAGACTTTTATTGCTTTTGGCTCCAGTAAATTCTGCTTTTCGCAAACTGAAGTTCTGCAGTGTTTTCAACCAGCTTAAGAAAGTGAATCACAGAAGAGCTTCTTTGAGTGTTCAGGCAGGGAGAATATTTGTCTGGATGGTACTAAGCTTGAAGAATGAGGACAAGCTAAATTTATACCACGTTTCCTATTCTGTTTTCCCTTTCTCTTTTTGAAACTGAGAGTTTATTATTAAATAATCCTAAACTATAACAGAGAGGTATTTACCTAAGGACAGTCTAAATGTTATTTGTAATGTAAGTAGAGGGTTTGCATCTTTTTAACCACACTGTCTTTTCAGCAAGAGAAACTTACTGATGAAAAGAAGCTCACACTGAAAATACTACAGGGGTTACTTCTCCAAGTAACCCATCATAAAGCTTAATTTAGTGGTTAGTGCTCTGCAGGAAACTTGGGATCAGTTTCCAGAGAAACTCTTGTTCAGAGATTCTGGTATGACCTGGGAGCTTAGCCATATACAGTTGCATTTTGTGACTGATTGAGGCTGATGTAAACTTAGTACAAACAGTCTCCACAGGGTAGTATCTCTGTCGTCCTGACTGGAAGAATAGTGACGACTGAGTTTATTGCTCACTGAGGAAAAGTGCTGAGGAAAGAAATCAACTAAAGTTTTTAATTTAATGTTGAATCAGTGGGACTGTCAGAGAGAAGTAATAGGGAAGATTATATATTCAAAAGAAATCAGGAACTCAATAAGCATCGAAGACTTACTGTGCTGTTTTAGAAATCTGTTGTACAAGTACAAAGGCTTTAGGGAGTGCTTGTACTTTCACTATGTGTTGCATTCTTGAATTCAGGTGATTGGGACATTAGGAGTTGTTTAATTCTTGACTTCTCAGTAAAACTTGGGGGACTGATGGAAGCATTTTAGATTTTGTTGTCTGCACTGCAACAGAAAATGCAGATTCCTTACTTTATGAAGAAACATGTGGTGCGGTTTGCTTAGAGCATTTTATTTTTAACTTTCTAGACAATATTTATGCATCTGGCAGTTCTGTGGATAGGTAGCACAGTTTTGCAGCAGCAGTAAAATGAAAATGTAATGAGCTTCTTTCTGAAATACTTCCAAAATTGCACAATACTGTCTTTAATGCTGCCCTCAAGTTATGCCTTCGCGGTACCGTCATGGTATGACTTGGTTTCCCCCTTCTGAAGTTACCTTTCTGTATCAGGGATGCATTTGGCTCCAAGGAAGCAGCTGAGGGCAGAATGAATCATTCTGGAGTGTTCAGAAATTTCAAAATAAGTAAGAATGCTCCTTTGAGTGAAGTCAGAAGTTTTGAGGAGGGCCTTTTCTCAGTTACCAGCCATTTAGTCGGCCAATTGGATCATATTTAACATTTCAGTTTAGTCCAGTGATTAAAAGCAGCCAAGCAACATATAGTCAATAAAGAAAATACTGGGTTTGGATAATTATATAGTGAATATTGACAAAACTAACTTCCTGACGCCTATGGTATTATGCACAATTTGATTCACTACTGTAGAATAGCAAGATGCTGTTTCATCCCCCTCCTTGTGCACATACCTATTCAGAAACATCATTCTCAGACAAATTTAATTTTATATTTTTATTTCACTCCTAAATTAACACAAGGAGTTAACTGTATGTGTGTAGAATGAAAGGAGAGTAGAGGAAAATTGTATTAGATGTAAGCCTGGATTCTCTTGCAGTGGGTGGTCTTCAAAGTATGCAGGAGAAAACTTTCTGCCAGAAAGAAGTTCATCATAAATTGATATGAGATGGAAAGAAGAATGAGATGTGTCAAAACCAATAGGACATATGAGGCAAAAGAAATAAAAAATCCTGTATTGTACATTATACAGATCTAAATACATTTATTTATACATTCAGATAAATACATTTGCTTTATTCATGATTGTCTCTTTGCCAGATGTACTTCAGATGATGGGACGTGCTGGTAGACCACAGTTTGATGACCAAGGAAAAGCTGTAATTCTAGTTCATGATATTAAGAAAGACTTCTACAAAAAATTCCTTTATGAACCTTTCCCAGTGGAATCAAGGTAAAGATAAAGAAATGAGTAAAGCTGTTCAAACTGTAAACAATACTATGAATGAGGGCTAAAGAAAAGTGAAACAAAATTCCTGTGCCAAGTATCTCCTAAATATTGGGAGTCCTAGGGAAAAATAATTAAAAAAAAAATAAATTGCCCATCTTTAACCAGAAAAATCTTATTTTCTATGAGTTTTGAAGCATTGATGAGCTCTATAGTCTGTTCCCAGATCATACTACGAATGCTTCTCTGCTCCTGAGTGTTGTCTCTGAAATTTCAATGTGAGCACAACTGTTCTTCAGGACAACTATACATGATCCTCATAACCCTCTCTGAAATTCTGTGACAAATTCTTAATTTCTGACCTCTATCTGGTCAGGAAATTTTTAGGAGCTTGGGAGTGCTATCCACTTGTGAATTGTAGTTGAAATGGGCTCATGTATGTGAAGGTTAATTTCTGTGGTGCACAGACAGACAGACAATTTTTGCAAATAAGAATGTGCAGACACGCAAGTTATTTCCTTAGGAAACCACACTTTTTTTAACATACACATTTTACTGAGCACAAAAGGCTGTGAGTTGAAACTCTTCATAATGATAGCTAATAAGTCAAAAGAGCATTGTGATTAAAAATTGATATATCCAGACTGTTTGGCACTAGCATAAACTAGGAACCCTTGTAATTCATTGATTGGTAAATCATATCTTGAGTATGTAGTAATCACAGCTTGTTCCTGTTTGGAATACTATAAATATTCTACGTTTCTAGTAGCTCATTTTGTGTGTATATATTTCCTTCCTAGTTTTATATATTCCATCTTTTACTATAAACAAAGAATATTTGATAGAACTTCAGAGGATTCACACATAAATAGCAATCTTGTTAAGTTCAATGTAGGTTGTGATCCAATTAACTTAGAGTTGTCCTGGTCTCTTTTATGACCAAGTAGTTGATGTAAGAGGCTTCTTAGCTTCAAAGAGTAACTGTTTGGGAGTATTTCAGGGGTTTTTAGTTTTAGAATGCTTTCCCATCTGTTCTGCCAAAGAGCATATTTCTCAGCTTTGTATAGTATTTCCAATTTGTAAAATTAAAATTAACATTTTTTAATTAAAGTGTTTTCTAAAAGCCATTGTCTATGTTTTAGTTGTCAGATTTGATTATGCAACTCATATGACAGACCTTTTGCTCTCACTGATCATGAGTATGAAATATAGCATATTAGAAGCAAAAGATAAAGCACTCTTTATCGTGGAATAGGTGTTGAATCATCTGTCTGGTTTCTGCTGGACATTCTGGGTGGAACATTTGCTGTTCCTACTTTCAGAGTCATGCAATAAGTGGCGTAGAGCAGTTAAAAAGCTACTCATACCAAATCGTTATTTACCTTTAGCACCAGGGAAAGAACAGTAGGAAAAGAAAAAGGATTATAAAACAAGAAAAATTAGGTTCATCCTGAAAGATATTTGCCATTCCCTGATTGAACTCTAGCCAGCCATGATCTCATTAGATAGCCTAATGGAGGTCTTAGTTCTATTTAATGACTCTAAATAGTATCTTTCTTTGTAAGAATAATTTTATACTTCTTTTGTTCTTCTGTGGTTTTGAGTTTAGATCTCTCTGAGTAAAAAGTAGCTGCTTGTTTTTTTTTTCTTTTTTGTCACATTGGATGAAGATGAGGCAAAGTCTGGAAGAAGCAGTTTTGATGTAATTTGAAGAGCTCTCAAGTATTTGTCAAGTATTTGCTAAGCTATTGCCACTGTTTCATTTCCTGTTTGTCTTTCCATATGATTCTCTCTTGGATTAAGCCAGCACAATCATATGGTCAACACACAATATTCAGAAGTTACCACTGAGTAGCTCCATCTGAATACATTCCATGAATGACTTAAACTTGTGCATTCTTGGTCCAATCAAAAAGTAATTTGAGCCTCATTCCACTATCATGTAAAGAAGATGACTGACCTTGCAATTACATTCCCCTTTCTCCCTCTCTTCTCTTTTATCAGAAGATAAATGTATAATATTTTCAGATTAAAAGTAATAAACCTTTTAATGCACAGCTCTACAAAATATATTACCTGTCTTTGTGATTGTAGTCAGCTAAGTCCTCTTGTTTTCTGTTCTTCAGCTTGTTAGAAGTGCTGGCTGACCACTTGAATGCTGAAATTGCTGCTGGAACTATTACTTCTAAGCAGGATGCAATGGATTATATCACCTGGACTTATTTCTTCCGTCGACTTATAATGAACCCAACGTGAGTATAAAATACAAATGCAATTTAATCTAAAGGTAACTTGAGGGTAGAGTTGACCCAAAGGTGATCCCACTGCTGTTGGAGTGTAAAATACTTAGCAGTCTCCAGTGTAGGAGCATTACTGGCCCACACATGGAATAAAACTTGTGTGCACATTTTTTTAGTAATTTTTTTCTCTAAATATAAATGCATTTCTTGGCAGATAATTTTACAATTTAGTGACAACCATAAAATAGCCTTATTGAGAGGGCTACATCAGCCTCCCTAAAATAAAACTCCAGATTATCACATTCCTTTAGGTACTGTATTTATTATGTGTTACTTTTTTTTTTTCGCTACCATATTGATATGTTCTGCCCAGTTTTCTATAGAAAATCTATTAAGACCTGGATTTTCCTAATAAATGAGAGAATAGCTATCAGCTGTTTCTCAGTGATAAGGTTTACTTTCATTAGAGTGTCCTGGTGAAACCATGTGTGCAATATTTTCAATGATTGTTATCATCCTGCCTAGCTCCAGCTGGTATGCAGATCATTCTGAGCTGTTCCAGCAATGTAGCCTGCCTTTGCCACAACACTGGTTTGGGTACATGGCCTGTTACCTGCCACGTGATCATTCACCCACCAAAATCATGTGGCAAATAAAAAATCGGGCATTTATAGCACTGAATGTTTCTTGATGTGCTCCGGAGTGTTTTATTTTTGAAATCATGTCCATAAATTTTGGCTGAGTTTGTTTTCAGCTGAATTCTTCATGGGCAACTGCTGATGGGAGCCTGAAGTTGATAAAATAGTTTCCTTGAATTCTTAGTTTTGAATTCTGCATCTAGTCCTGTGCTGATCTTCTTGGGAAATAGAAAATGCAAAGTGTTAGAACTGTAAACTAAAGAAAACATATTCAGTTCTCTTACTTCAAAACAAGATGAATACATTTATATGGAAGGCATTTCTCCCGAGAGTGACAAACAGCTAAATTCTGGTTTTGTCTAGGTTAGATATAGGTAAAGCTGTGTTTAGATGTATGACTTTGGAATTTACACATGATCCATGCTATAACTAATTTTAAAAACTATGCCACTGCAGACACTATTCTCTTTTAGTATAAGGAGTAAGTAATGTTATTTTAAAATATCTTGCTCTTGAATTGCTGTGTTACAGTGATGTTCTTGATTTGTCTTTGGCAATCTTTGATCATGTTGTATCTGTGGTAGGTAGATTTTTAAGACACAACATATAGCTCAAAGGTAAGTGTAGAATACAGAAATGTAGTAGTTTGATTTAATAAGCAAGCTCTTCCCACTTGATCCCACTGGAGTATGAGGCTGACATGTTTACTGATGGTCCTTTTTCTCAGCAGTTTCATTAATGTGCAGTGTCATGGAAGGCAAAATCTGAAGTTCTCACAATATCGAATTTTAAGCAGAAATTCTGCTATTCTGAGCAGATTGTGGGAAGAAAATTATGGGAGGAAAAAAAAGAAAAAGAACCCCACCATACTATATTTCATAGTGAGATGCAGAGCCTTTGTAGTGAGAAAGAAGGTGATCAGATCTTGACTCCTCATGTCCATAATGGCAGGGTAGAAATGCATACTGAAGTTGCTAATAAGATTGGAGTCTTTTATTGGAAATGTCACACCTGCAGGTTGGAACCCCTGGTGGTGGCAAGTTGTGCTGCTTTATCCCCTGTCTCATCCACACAGAAGTTCTCAGCGTTGTGTACTCAGTCATCCAGGGAGAAAAGGGGAGGACATTATTGACTGTGTGCAAGAGGTCCCTTCTAGATACCAAATGCAAATGCAGTGGATGTGCATGCTTTCCATTCTTTGCTGTGATAATAAATTATATTAAGTTTCATCCAAAGTTCCTAACGTAGCCAGTTAGTAGAGTTCCTGGACCTATGTATCTGTGGTATGTTCAGACCTCCTTCAAGCCAATGGTCATTGCTTGAACGAGATACATCAAAGGAAAACTGAAAGAGTTTTATGAATAGAGGTCAGTGATAGTTGAATAACTTCTTGTTATGTTGCAATACAGTAATGGACTTTACTGTGCCATAGATGAGCATATTAAATTATTGATGTCACCAAACAAGAACTAATCATAATAATCCAAAGATTTTAATTTATTGTTGTGTTTTTTTCACAAGAGTAGGAGGACAATGACTGAATGTTGGTTTGGGTAGTTACACAGTACCTACTCAGTGTCACTCTTTATCATGTCTGCCCCACAGCAGTTTTGTTGACTTAGTCTCTACTGAGAAACAAGAACTATTTTCTAGCCAGCAGGTGATTGTACCTTAGTGGTGAATAAGTAATTCCCACATGCATGATTGGTAAATTGCCTTGGGATTCATTGGCATAAAAGTCATTGCATGTGATGCTGTAAATCCCCTAAATAATGGGCTTAGATAATATGCAGAAGATTTATATTCTCATTTATTGCCAGTTTTACCTACTTGTATATTAAAGCTGCATAAACAAATCAAGGATCTTTCTATTCCAGTCCAGTATCATAAAATGCCTCACTGAATGCCCACAATTTGTACTATTTAAGTAACTTTAATCTACTTTTGTTGTGAATTACAGATCAAAGTATCCTTTTGCTCTAAGTATGTAGGTTTCTTCTAAACATGCACTCATTACAAAAGTTTTTTCTGACACACTCAAGATAATTTGTTAAACTTGTAATAATGGCTTTTTTAATGGTGGGGTTGAAAATGTTTGCAAGTTACAATACTTCTTTTCATCAAACTGTTTTAATTTTCTTGTTTGATGAATCCCTGTATCTTGAAATCTGTGAAATGGAAGGAGGAGTTATTGAGCTGTTGATGTGGGAGAGGGGAGTAGCTGAGTGCTCGTTCAGAGCCATGCTGACTAGTCATCTGCATGTTGTTCAAAGGATGATGTGCAACCAGAGGGGTGATCCAAATAAAACTGTTTATCTAAGTGTATCAGTCTCAGTAGCGAGAGTTTCTTCCCTGTTCTTTCCCTCCCCCAAAGCAGTTATTCCTAAATGTACAGGGGCTTGAATTTGCTTGGTAAGTCCAAGATTCTGTGTTACTTCAGTCAAGTACTACAACGTGTTCTCCTTCCCACATACAACTGTGGTAGATGTGTTCTTTACTTAGCCAGGATCATACAAGTCAGATCAGCAAAGTGCCCTGTTCTTTGAAAGGAGTTATTTTGAGAGGCTCATCTGTCTCCTTTCCTTGGCTGAAATTCCTTGGCTATTTCATTCTTTTACCCTTATAAAAGATTATAATCTGCAACTTTGTACAAAAGAGAAATGGCTATGGAAAACATTTTCTGTAAATCAGGTTATGATATTTTCCAGATACATGTGCAGTAAAGAAGAAATAGAAATTTACAACATATGTAAAGTTAAACAGAATCAGCTTTCATTTGAAAAGTTAATTTCTAGATATTTTGAGAGCACACATCACATCACTGTAAAAATGTGTGAGTGTTTTTAATGTATTTATAAATATATATGAGAGTATATGTATATACATACACACTTATGAAATCAGTTTTCTCTGTAAATTCCTTGTGAAGACCTGAAATGTTTTATTAATTCATTCTGAGAATTATTAAGGGATTTTTTTTCTCTTTGTGTCACAGTCTTAAGAAGTTTACTGGAGTGAAAGAATAATGCAGCAGAAATTATAATTAAAGTATCTCAAATATGCTCTTATCATATATTTTACTTTCAATTTCTTTTTCTTAGGATGATTAGCTGAGCATGTCTAATAACATTGTGAATAAAACATCTGAATAAAAGTTATAATTGTATAGCGTTCCAATATAGTTTCTGGGATTCAGGTGACAGGTGGTATCAGCCAGTCGGGATAGAATAATATCTATTTCAGTGAAAAAATCCCAGTTATTCAGAATTTTAGGACTACTTTGGAATCATATCAGAAGGGAGGATTACTGAAGAAAGTTAAATTAACTAAGATTAAAAGATAAAATGGAAAAGTTTGGTAGTAGCTACTAAGAACAGAAGCTAAGAAGGTGCAAGTGTGTTACAGTGCAGTAATTACCAGTATCCGGATATTGAGCTCGTAAGCAGCTACTTCTCTGGGTGGATTCTCACTGTTACAGTCCCATTGAGATCTGTGTGCATGTATATATGCTTCAAAAAGAGCAGCTATAGGCATTATTATTAATTTCATAATAAGAGCTTGTTATTTTAAATTATTAGGGTCACACTGATGTGTAGAAGTATGGGAATGTAGTTCAAGGTTCTGATTTTCTCAGGCTGGGAAGCCCCAGGCTGCTGAGGATTTGAGCTGCCTCCTGTTCCCAAGTCTGCTGCAGTCTTAGGTGAGAATGCAAAGATGAACACCCCCTATCTCCCTGTTCAGGAAGCAAACACACATAATTGCCCTCCTACACTTGGATATGTTTTTTTACCTGTACAAATTATCTGCTGGAATATATCATAGGAAGAAGAAATGCTCAGTCAACATGTAAGCAAATTTACGTGTGCCTATTATCTCTTATTTCTCATTTTACCAACACATGTTGGGAGTTAAGATGTCTTGTAAATATTTTAATTAGAAGCACCGATGGGAGGCAAATACCTTGCTGATGTCAGAGAAACTGGACTCTTCTTTGATCTGCTTAAACAGGGACAATGTACAATATACTAAAAACAGATTAAAGGTAGCACTGCATCTCTTTCTCATACCTGGCATAAACAAACATATGACTGCAAGAAAATACAGATGGAGATTCCTGCTTGCTGCATTTGTGCACACTGTCATGCACTTCAGCAAGCCAGGCACAGGCTCCAGACTCACTCAGCATTGCCTTAACTACAGGAAGGAGTTGGTACATTGGTTCATAGTTCTCTGGCTATGAAGGTCCATCAGTTGTGCCATGTACTCAGTCCCATTTCCATGGCACCATTTGAAGATGGCAGCTGCTGGAGGCCACAAGCTGACGAAAGGAAACAGTTGATAACTGCGGGGAAGCAATTTATAAAATTGTTCTCTCTGCTTCCCTCATACTTTTTCATAACAAAATTCTTACAGGACTGTAATATCAGAAAGCACTCTTTCTTGCTAGCAAGTGAATGCTGTAGATTAATTTGCCATACTTTTTCATAACAAAATTCTGCTTACAGGACTGAAATGTCAGAAAGCACTCATTTTTGCTAGCAAGTGAATGCTGTAGATTAATTTGTGTATTTATTTCAGAGGCCCTTCTGGCTAGCAAGTTTTTCTTTAAACATTTTTGGCTGACTCTGCCACTGATTTTCATTACGTGTGTTACTATTACTACCGTATAATCTGAACATAAAAAATGTGGTGCTGTAACAAATGACTTCACAGCATTGACAGTTATAGCAGGACCATTTCAAGGCTGATGAAAAATTTCCCAGAGAGATCTCAGGTCAGGTTTACATAAGCTAAACAGGAAATGATTGCCACCATTCACATTAAATCCTAAATGTTTTGTGTAACTTCATCTACATTTTATGTCCCTGCACGTCTCTGTGTCTTTCTCAGCTGATGAAATTCCACACTTTCTTAGATTAGAGAAGTAAGTTCATGTTTCAGGGTTTGTTGTTCTTGCTGAGCTCTACAGGGCTTGGGATTTTAAATGTATTATTTAAAATACAATAAAAAGTTCCTTCAGTTTTTGATTGTTTAAATTTTACATACTTTGTAAATTTTTATGATACCTAGGGGTTTGTTATGGCTTTTTCCCACTGGACTACTAATGGAAGTTAGCCTGCCTAGCCCATGTGCTAGATGCTGTTAGGATAAAACTGCCTTTGACTTTCACACCTCTCAGGGGACGAGTAATTGTTGTGTTCAAACAGCCTGTAATTGTGATCCCGCTGGCTTTCTCAGTACGCTTCTGGCTATTAGAATCATTAAACAACTCAGCACCTGTTAACAGCATTGTAAATATTCAACCCTGCTTGTGTGCAGGTTGAGTCCAATATAGGAGAAGGCTTACAGAGCCCAGCATCATAAATTAGAGCTTCTGACAAGTCAATTATTGTGAAACTGGGCTTCACTGTGAAATAAATGAAATGGTGTGCTGATAAAAAGGTAGGCTGTCTGTTTGTAGCAAAGGGAAAATAATGACTAGATGATTCAATGCAGTGAGCATGAAACTGCATTGTTTTTATTCTTTATCTGTAATTAAATAGTTAGGTAATACAGCTTCATAGAGGAACTCACATATGATGTAGGTTTTATACTTGGAGCATGCCAACATGCAAAATTCAACTTGCATTTATGCCTGTGCATTGAAAATGCTGTCTAATGTCATGATGCCTCTGTTTTCACTAATGATTTTAACATGTCTTTCTAGATTAATGGCTTTGCTTTTTATTAGGGGAAAATGTGCTGAGTGACCAAGAAGCTCCTGTGGGTGTGCTCAAAATTATATTTACCCCATTATACATAGTAGTGAAAACACACTGGTAGCACTTCACTCAAGATTACAAACCATTTAAGATTTTTCTATATATTGTTTTGTTTGCAGTGAGCAGCTAGAGATTTACTCCTCTGACAAAAAATTACCAAAAATCAGCGAATTTCAGATTCACAAGTTTTAAAAAGGCATTGTAATGCCTTTTATGATTACAACCTCAGTGTGAAATGCAGCAAATTAAGCAGAGCACAAGATTAAATCTGTTTGAATTAGCATCTTAAAATACAGTCTAAAAAAATAATTTCAGTGTATTGGCCAGATCTCTGCCCTTGTTTTATCATTATCCATCATCAATGTTGTGGTACTGCAAATAACAGTTCTGAAATGATGAAGTGAAAATCTGAACACCATGACAACAAAGTACCTTAATTATAATCATTTCAATAGCCTTATATTCAATATAGAGAAAAATACTAATGAAGCATTAGTAGTTTAGAGGTATAAAATAGAAAATCTTTTCACATCCTTAAACAAGTTACCTAGTTAATTTGCTCGTTTATTTTCAGAAGGCAAACAAAATGTTACAAAGTAATTTCTGCTAATAAACAGAGTCTAAACATGCGTAGTGGTAAGATGTCAGGCAGATAAAAGGTGCAGATGGAAATATTGATCATTTTTTGTCATTCCTCTGTTACTTCAGTAAATTTAAAAAGGGACTCTCATGGACATTAAGTTGCATTGAAAATGTTAAGAGTACTTTTGATACAAATAAGTTCATTTTGCATAAGGTTGATAATGTGTGGCTGTCTAACATCTTAAAGGTTTTAGTCAGTGTAAATATTTCTGTGTTCTGTTTTCATTTGGACAATAACTGTTTAAAATATTTGAGTTCATCTCAACGTGAAGCCATATAAAATATCACAGAGCTGAATTCTTCACTGCCATATATATGCACTTTGTTGTAGTCTCATGTAGCTGACTGGTTCCTGCTATGAGAACAGGGGTTTTTATCCTTTTCTTGTAGTAGTGTATTACTCCAACTTTACCCAATTTTAAGCATCAAGGGAATTAACCCCATACTTTGGGATTCATAACAAGGACAAAAATTTGGAAATAACTTCTGGTTAGCTTGCAGTTGATTTTCAGTTCTGATATTGCTATTCAAAAAGATAAATGTTTACAACTCTGTTTAAGAAAGTAATAATGCAAGTCAGTTTCTGTTAATGTAACAGTCATGGAAGGATGCTTGTAGATAAAAACACAATTCCATGTTTTGAAATTTGCTAACAGCAGCTTTGCAGTACACAAAATAGAGCTTAAATCAGAGAATGGGATTCATCTGCCCAAATATAGCATCAACTGCTGAACTGTCTAAAGTTCTTTTTTTACTCAGTGATTACATTTCACCTCATCCTAAAGGGGGTATATAAAATGCTTCAGATTAATAGCATTCTGCAAGTGCATGTTTCTCTCCCCTGGCAGTAAAGAGAGTTGAAAAGACTAGCTCAGGTGTAGCTGTAACTATGTAAAACCACCTAAAATGAATCTGAGCACAGTGTTTTGCAGCCTGCTGTTCACCTGCACAGAGTAACACTGACAGAACCTACTCTCCATGACAGCATGTGGTGTTGTTTCCAGTGGGGATGCTGAGGGCATCGTACCAATAGGAAATGTTAGCAAAGCAGCTAGTGTGAACAAAGGAGCATCTTCCATCGTTTTAGCAATCTCTGTAGTCTCTTTTTGTGACAGTATTCTACAGAATTCAATGAGCAGGGACAACCTTTTTTTAACATTTCAATAAATCATCACATCTTTTGTTTGTTTGAATTCCACTTTGAAATTGCCTTATTTAATTGCTTCAGTTCAGCATTTTTAAACTTTCTGAGCATGCTCAGTTTTTCTTTACTGCTCATTGAACTTCATTGTTACTTTCTGAATTGGTGCCTTTGTTGAATCTAGGACACAAGTTCTTGCTACATTTTTATCTGGGGCTTTCTAGGTAAAAGCTCTCTGTGTGAGAAAGCATCTTGTATTATAAGATGAAGTTCTGTGGTTAAGGACTGCAGACTTCAGTCACTGTATCTTTTTTTTGGATGCTGGCATAGCAATGTGTTTTGGCACATTTCATAAACCCATTTTCTTTCCTACAGATAACTAATGACCATTCTTACTATATATAGTTTACCTAAACAATTTTACCCGAAAGTGAACAGGTGAAGTAACCACACTGACAAATGCTCTGTTCCTTTTTTGTAGCAATTTAACTTTGAGAATAAAAAGATGTGGAAATATACACCAAACACCAACATTTGGATTGGTGTATGGTTACTTTTTCAAAAGATGTCCCTATGTGCTCAGTCTTTCTTTTCTGAGTTCCAGGATTTTAAGAACAGTTGCTATCCTTGGTGGCTTTTTAACTTTCTCTTGAAGCTGAAATCTTTTTATTTGTGTTAGTAGTGCTTGTTCACTTTCATATTTATATAATCAGGAAAATATACTTATGCAATGAGGAAGATTTTCCCATTAACAAAATACAGCCAATCCAGTTCTGTTTGTATCAGCCTTTCTATTAATAGGCAGATAAATTACCATCTCTCCATATGTACATGCTTGTATTATGTTGATTACTCCCACAAACCATTTAAGAATGATGAATTTCTTGTTAGACTATATAAGGGAATAATTCTGTGTTTTAATTGCTTCATGTGGATATTTGCTGTTCCAAGTTGGTGTGTGTATTACAGCAGCCTTGTAAGTTTTCCTACAAGACGTTATTGTTAAAAATCTTCAGAGTGTAAAAAGTACTCATGAAATGCATCTGTTTTCAATTTATGTAGTTACTATAACTTGGATGATGTGAGCCATGACACTATGAATAAGTACCTCTCAAGCCTTGTTGAGAAATCCCTCTTTGATTTGGAATGTTCCTACTGCATTGAAATTGGGGAGGTAAGACTAATCTGTGCCTTATAAGATTCAGTAAGATAGATGTTCCTCAGCATTGGGAACAGCAGGATGCAGACGTGCTCCTGACTGGAGATGGTAGAGTCTGTCTGTGGAGCTATTTGTAAGATGTTAAAAACTGAGCCCAATTGGGGTTGCAGCTAAATTATGATACTAAATCATTGTTGCTATTCTCTCTTATAAAGCAGCCTTAAAATATTCTACAGTTTTGTAGTAACTGTTTATACTGAGCCATGTGGATTCCATGTATATTTGATTTCTCTTCTAACAGGATAATCGCAGCATTGAACCTCTGACTTACGGCCGCATTGCTTCCTATTACTATTTGAAGCATCCAACGATTGGGATGTTCAAAGATCAGTTGAAACCTGAAAACAACATTGAAGAATTGCTCTTAATTCTGACAGTAAGTTTTGATATTTTCTTAACTTAAACATACGTTATATCATGACTCTTAAAGACACAAGTGTATAAAAAAACACCCGAAAGTAAAGAAAAGCCTTTCCTCCCTGATCTGTAGTTTAATTTCTTCTTGTTTTAAGTAGTATACCTGAACCATTTTTGATGTTTGAAGTGTTTCATCAAATCAGTACATTAAAATCACTGTATACACCTGGTTCTCTTCTTAGGTCCCTTTATAATATTAAGGATGTATTCAAATCTGATGCTTGTTTTTTTCTAAGTTAGGTATAATACTAAAATGCCAGAACAGTAAGCACATATCAACATCCTAAATTTGCATCACAGTCATCACTTTGTACTGGGGCAATCTGGAAGATACAGGAGCTTTAAGGAGTAAGGGACACATATGGGGAAGACCTATTCCCTCAAATGTCTCCTTCTCCTCCTCCCAGCCACCTCACTATCCCTGAAGTCACAACCTGCAGTAATGGGCTAGCTCTTACAGTTAGACCTAGTGAATGTTACTTTTATATTCATTATTTTTGTGACATGCTGCCAAAATTCTCTGAGGAGAAATGCAAGGAGAAAAATAAAAACAGTGCTGTTCAACAGTTTGCATCTCAACAGAAACTAATAAGCATTTTATGACACTGGGAAAGCCACTTTTCTGGTACAGAGACTTTCTTTCTGATAAATCTAAATCACCTGCTGCAAACATTCAAAGTGTTACAGCTCAGAAATAAAGGCCACAGTAATCTTTTATAATGGAAGGGGTTAGACAACATAAATAGGGGAACTGCTATCACTGACCCTGCAATGTCTGTTGTTCTGTTGTCAGAAAACATTGCAAATTATATGAAATGAAATTGATTATATTCCGCTGAATTCAAAATGGTAATCAAACACAATTCCCATATATACTGTATGTAAAATAACTGACATTTTAACAAGAAAAATCCACTAGTGAACAGAAGTTAAATAATGCAGTGCTGAGTATTCAAAGTGAGAGCTTTACTCCACCTGCTGCCTCTTAGAAGTCTCTCCTTCTTTCTAGAGAAAATTTTCTCCACCTAGAAACTTTCAGAATTTCAGAATGTTCAGACAAATTTGGACAGGGAAATTCTGAGAATAGCATTAGCAGAGGTAGGGGGTGAAATATGACACTGCCTGAACTAGTGAGCAGCATATGGAAGTTAAATAATGGAAGCAGAACCTGTCGATACTAATCAGGGATCCTCAATTAAGCAGCTTCTATGAAGTATAAAGGTAAATGGCAAATATTTCTCTTGTAGATGAAACCTAGGATCCTACTGTTGGTCAGAGATTGTAAAATATAACTTTCATTAATCTTCCTTTAATTCTTTCTAATGCTTTTTATTTTCTGGAAATATAGTCTTGAAAGCTGCCTATTTACAGTCTTAAGAGGAATGAGAGTAACAGTAAAATCATGCAGGGGTCAAAATATGCCACATGTCAGTCTGAAAGACAAGAAGGACGTATGAATGTTGGATGCCATTGTAGCTGACAGGTTTTTCTTTCTTTTTATGCAGATGTTGATTTTCATAATTACTAGTGGAATTACTGTCCTGTCCTGTTGAAGGTGTAAATTGAAAGTGGTTTTTTTTTCAGCGTGATGTAGTGTTGAAAAGAATTGCCATTTCACCAGTTATTGCCAAGGGTTGTTGTGGTGGGTTTTTTTTCCCCTAAACAGGGTTTTTTTCCCCTGTGAATTAATGAGTTTTATAATTACGACAGTTGCTTCACACCTCTATTGTTAACCAATGACATTACATCTGCCTTGCTCCACTGGTGCCCTCCTCCTTCTTATTGAAGCATTTAGCAGTTTTGGCCATGGGGAATTACATGGCATGGGGTAAGTAGTCTAATTAGGTATAAGTGAAAATCCTCAGGGAAAAGGATATTTTTTAAGTAATTTGAAGAATCTGTTAATGATGCTGGAACTGAAAGCTGTAACTGTAGTACAGAAAGGCCTGTTACCATTGCAAAACATAATTACAATCATGATTATTCTGGTGATCACTGAGTTTCAATTTTTTTTTAATTTTAGACTGTGTTATTTAAGAATAACATTTCTCAAAGGCCTTTGCAAGCTGTTGTAGCTGTGACATGGGTCTTTTCTTGTTGGTTTTGTTCATAATCTGGCAAACCTTTAGATATTTACAAGTTCTTGGATGTATGTAAGGAAGATAGAGGTGTACAAGTGTAACAAAGAAAATACTGATGATGTGGGTTTGAGAAGGGATATAGGCAAGTTTTCACTGAATTGTCAATGTGTAACTTGAAACAGAGCACAAGTATATTTAAAACAAAACCAGGAAAAAAGCAAGAATGCTTCCAGAAATTTATTATCGTATTAAGAGTTTGAAAGAGTTTTAAATCTGAGTTTGATTACAGGACTTTGAGTTTCACATTGATATTTTGCCATGCTGATGGGAGTGTTCAGAATTAACCAATAATCTTTGCAGCTCACATGAAAATAGTTTTGAGTCATCCTATTTCTAGTACTGATGGATGTCTCACAAAAATCACTTGAGAGCAAGATTTTTTTCCCCTTAACAGGCAAGTCTATTCATAGTGTTGTCCAGTATCTGTTCTTTTCTCTCTTTTTATTTTATCTTTTCATTTGATCGTCTGCCAGCATTTTGCAAGATCAAATGAATTTTTTTCAGTATGGTTTAGGGGTTGAAGTATCCATAACGTGAACAGGAACGTGACACATGGGAACAGCTCCACAGTCATGCTGGAAATACACAGTAATAAGTGATACAAATTATAGACTCATTGAATGGGTTGGGACCCATTGAAAGGGACTTTACAGATCATCTAGTTCCAACCCCCCTGCATGGGCAGGGACACCTCCCACCAGACCAGGTTGCTCAGAGCCCCATCCAGCCTGCCCTTCAGCACTTCCAGGGATGGGGCAGCCACAGCTTTCCTGGGCAACCTGGGCCAGGGTCTCACCACCCTCACACTCCAGAATTTCTTCCTAATGTCTAACCTAAATCTACCCTCTTCTAGCTTAAAACCATTACCCCTCATAATTACCTATTCAAACCATTACCCCATCACTGCACACCCTGGTAAAAAGTCCCTCTCCAGCTTTCCTGTAGCCCCTTCAGGTACTGGAAGGCCACTATGAGGTCTCCCCAGAGTCTTCTCTTCTCCAGGCTGAAATAGGTGGGGTGCAATCCCCTCACGCTTTCCTTTCTTCTCCCAGTAAATCTGCACTCAAGATGTCTAATCTGTCTTGGGTTTGCAGTTAGCAGGCAAAGTTCAGGCTCAGTTATTTTTGCAACTGACCTGTGCTAGTGGGCCTGTAATTTTTCTGAGAGAAAATGTTTGATGCTTTTCCATAGAGCTTTCTTTAGAACTTTCCTAACCGTGCCCCAGATAGGAGCAATCCAAATGAGATTAATCACTGTTGAGTTATGGTGCTTCTTGTATTAAGTATTATTGATGAGAAAGTGTTCATGAATTATTACTGACAGGCTGAATTTCCCTGAAGTACCTAAAGACTCTTTCCTTTTATTGTGAAAGTAAGGTGCAGAGATTAGAACAGAGGATTGAGTAAAAAACAGTGAAATGTACTTTGGGGTAGTTTTTGTCATTTTCTGTATTAAGTCAGTGGTCAACACAAATCTTTTTAAAATCAAATGTACTTTTTTTGTACCTTGAGGAAAAGAGATCTCAATGATTTATCAGGTCTGTGAGGGCTAGATCCACTAGCTTCTTGATTTTTGGCAATTTGTTACTACACGTATCTGGTTGATGTTCTTATTTACAGAGCAAATAGGTTGTTATATCTGTTCATACTGGACAGTGGAGAATCATCTTTCAGCCCTTGTTCTTATCTGCAGCTTGTCTCTTATTTCTGTATTTGAATTCCACCTACAAGACACATCAGGTTGGTTTTCTTCTGCCTGCTGCTGTATTTCATATCAACTGGTTATAAGTGATGGGTTTATTTCTAACTGATAAGCTTGTGTTATACTGGGACCCATCTTTCTGTGATATAAACATGAACATCTAAATTTGGTATCCTCATAACCTCTTTATTTCTAGCTGGTCACTGACAGGACTTTGTTGCACTGGCTTGTATTAGATTTTATGTAAGTATTTTGGAACTCAGCAGACAATCTGGCATTGCTGGAGTAGCAGATTTAGAAGGTAGAAGGTGGAGGTTCATGAAACAGGTGCTCTCCATCTCAAATACATAGATAATAAAAGCATCAAGTGATTAAGGCCTTATCTGTCTTTCATTACCTGTCAGGTATCTGTACAATGAGATTCTGGGTAACTCAGTTAACCTATAGGTTTACTTTCTGTTCATCATCATTGGCACATCATCTTCTAACCAGGGAAATATGTGAGTCCTTATGAATATTTACACTCTCAGTCTAAAATAATTTTATTTCCTTAGCAGGATTCTGTCTTAAAGCTGTTGGTTCAGTCTCCCATCAAGGGACCACAAAGGTTTTTAACTCAGTGATAAACCATCTTTTCCACTGATCTCCTGTTAGATGCCAGGAAAGGAGTAATTAATAAGTTACAAAAATATTGTCCAACAACAAGCTAATGTGAGCTGGCTTGTGTCATGTTTTATCTTAAAGCCATGGCAGAAGCCTTGCCTTTGGTTTTTTTTAATATATTGTATGTCAGTTCTGTGAGCCATTTCAGAAAAAAATCAGGTAACATTTCCTCGGTCAGTAATTTTCTAGTTTAAATTTACATTTATATTTAATTTAGAAGGATATAAAGGTGCTACTAGGATTTTGTACAAGCCATAAAAGTACAGCAAGATTGCATTCATTATGTTATTATTTTTAAATATGGCATTTCAGTGTCAAGAATAGGAATATTTTATTAGATATATTTTATATTAAATGAAAAGCAATTATGTTACATGCTAACCTTTAAAGAACTTAGCTATTTGATTTCACATGTATCATCCCTTCTGAACAATATGAACATGACTGCTGTGGC